GGTGGGAGTTTTAAGGAGAGTAGTGGGAGCAGGCATGCTAATTTAGCGGCGCCTTGTTAAACCAGACACCCGAATTATGAGCTAAACTGCCGCGATACACACTAATTGGCATCTGTGGACAGTTGCCATGAGCCCCTTGTCAAGTTTTTTTTTTTAGAGGCTGTCACGTGGTGGTTAGTGTGTAAAGTATTGATCGTTAATGTCATGAGGTAATGGTAGTTAAGTCCGCATACCTGATAAATATCATTTAATATATTGGAAATAACAAGGGATAAGTACTTGCTTCCCAATTGCCTTAATATATGGACTATTGTTTCATCCGCTGTAAGTCTGGACGTTTTTTACGGGGCGCTTATATTCGCGTTATGGCGCTAACTGGAGTAGCGCGGTTACGCTGTCGCCTGATAAGTCTAGCCAACGTATTTGTCAGTGAGGCGAGATAAGCTGAGAGGTACAAGCATCGATAATTCCAGCTGAAAGCGTTATCGCACACATCAAAGCGATGCGCGGGAAACGACTCACTTTTGATGGGTAATTAGGAAGTGTCCGATGTCCTGCACCACTAGTCTCTTCTCTCCTAACACTTGCCTTAACATTGCATTGTAATCAAAACATACTAATTTCTGTCTTCGCCGTAAATGTATACGGAAATTTTGCTGCAGATAGCGAAGGTTTTCTAGCTAAATCGATGGAAGTTTGGTCGAATTGAGTGAAGTCTAAGCCAGAGTGAGTTCGGGTGAGGGTGGGCTGGTGAGGGTGGTTGCTGGCATGGGTCTGGCTGGGGGCCTTTACTCTTATAAAACTCTCGCCACACACATTGATCTCTCTTGACTGTAGCTTCTAAGTAACTCTTACACTCAGGCCAGGTGTCTGCTTCTAATAATGCTTGTATTTTGAGTTGTTATATACACGTGTGTCTGCCCTCTAATAACCAATTAAATACAGCCTACGGAACGTTAAAACCAAGTTTGCTTCTCAGATTATAATTAGAAGATATTTTATGATCAGTGGTTGACAAAGTTACTTAATAGACCTTGGGGCCTGAGTTGAAATGAGATAACTTATTAACGTTAAAAAAACTTATTAAGTTACTTATTAAGTTACTTATTAAGTTACTAAAAAAACTTATTAAGACTTATTAAGTTTAATGAAATTTAAGTGAGGTCTTTGGGAAATATTGTCCATGGAATTATTTCTTTTTTTTTGTGTAAAAAAGATAAGAGAGGTGTAGGTGAAAGAAAACGTTTTGGAAATGTGGAATAAAGAGTGACTTACGATAGGAAGCTGGCTGTCCGCCTCGCTGACATGACGTGACGTGTGTCGACTTACTTGCCTAATTGTGCTTGCGGGGGTTGAGCTCTAGCTCTTTAGTCCAGCCTCTCAACTGTGTGTGTGATTACCCAAGTGTAGTTACAGGTTGAGAGGTACGCTCGTGGTGTCCCGTCTTCCCAGTACTCTTTGAAACTATTGACGGTTTTGGCCTCACCATCTTCTCACTTAACTTGCTCCAACCGTCCCACTGCACAAGAAAACTTTCGAATATGTTTTCGGCACCTTTGTTTCCTTAGCTTGAATCTGTGTCCTCTTGTTCTTGAAGTTGCTGCTTTCAGGAATTCCTCTTTGTCATTTTGGTCGATTTGTTATTATTTTGTAAGTGATGATAATATCGCCTCTTTTTCTTCTATTTTCTACGTTGGCATATTTAACGCCTCTAGCTTCACCTCGTAACTCTTGTTTTGTAGTGTTTGTTTACCTAAGTGTAGTTACAGGATGAGAGCTACGCTCGTGGTGTCCCGTCTTCCCAGCACTCTTTGTCATATAACGCTTTGAAACTACTGACGGTCTTGGCCTCCACCACCTTCTCACCTAACTTGTTCCAACCGTCTACCACTCTGTTTGCGAAAGTGAATTTTCTTATATTTCTCCGGCAGCTTTGTTTCGTTAGTTTATATCTATGACCTCTTGTTCTTAAAGTTCCGGGTCTCAGGAATTCTTCCCTATCGATATTATCAATTCCTGTTACTATTTTGAACGTAGTGATCATATCACCTCTTTTTCTTCTGTCTTCTAGTTTTGGCATATTTAATGCCTCTAAACTCTCCTCGTAGCTCTTGCCCTTCAGTTCTAGGAGCCACTTAGTGGCATGTCGTTGCACCTTTTCCAGTTTGTTGATGTGCTTCTTAAGATATGGGCACCACACAACCGCTGCATATTCTAGCTTTGGCCTAACAAAAGTCGTAAACAATTTATTGAGGTTATCTTGAGATGATTTCGGGGCTTTTTAGTGTCCCCGCGGCCCGGTCCTCGACTACGCCTCCACCCTCAGGAATAGCCCGTGACAGCTGACTAACACTCAGGTACCTATTTTACTGCTAGGTAACAGGGGCATAGGGTGAAACAAACTCTGCCCATTGTTTCTCGCCGGCGCCTGGGATCGAACCCAGGACCACAGAATCACAAGTACAGCGTGCTGTCTGCTCGGCCGACCGGCTCCCTTTCTCCATCCATGTATTTAAAAGCAATTCTAAAGTTAGAAAGCGTGGCATAGGTTCCTCGCACAACGTTTGTAATGTGGTTCTCAAGTGACAGTTTTCTATCTAGAACCACCCCTAGATCTCTTTCTTTATCAGAATTCTTTAAAGATTTCTCACATAATTTATAGGTTGTGTGGGGGGTCTATGTTCTCCTATTCCACATTCCATAACATGGCATTTATTAACATTAAATTCCATTTGCCAAGTGTTGCTCCATATACTTATTTTGTCCAGGTCTTCTTGAAGAGCATGACAATCATCTAGGTTTCTTATCTTCTCTATTATCTTAGCATCATCAGCAAACATGTTCATATAATTCTATATTCCCACTGGTAGATCGTTTATGAAGACAATGAACATCACTGGTGCAAGAACTGAACCCTGTGGTACTCCACTTGTGACATTTCTCCAGTCCGATACCTTGCCTCTGATCACTGCCCTCATTTTTCTGTCAGTTAGGAAATTTTTCATCCATGTTAGAAGCTTACCTGTCACCCCTCCAATATGTTCCAGTTTCCAGAACAACCTCTTATGGGGAACTCTGTCGAAAGCCTTTTTTAGGTCCAGATAGATGCAGTCAACCCAACCATCTCTTTCCTGTAAAATCTATGTGTCTCGATCATAAAAACTGAGTAAGTTCGTTACACAGGATCTTCCAGATCGAAAACCATACTGTCTGTCTGATATTATATCGTTTTTCTCCAGGTGTTCTACCCATATAGTTTTAATTATTTTTTCCAATATTTTGACTATTACACTTGTCAATGATACAGGTCTATAATTAAGGAGGTCTTCCCTGCTTCCACTGTTGTAGATTGGAACTATGTTAGCCTTTTTCCACACATCAGCTACAACTCCTGTAAACAGGGATGCATGAAAAATCAGTTGAAATGGAATGCTGAGCTCAGGTGCACATTCTCTCAGAACCCATGGTGAAACTCCATCTGGACCAACGGCTTTGTTTTTACTTAGCTCCTTGAGCATTTTTTCCACTTCGTCTCTAGACACCTCTATGTGCTTCATGTTGTTGTATGTAACAAAAAGGAGGCCCTGGTCGAGGACCGGGCCGCGGGGATGCTAAGCCCCGAAATCATCTCAAGATAACCTCAAGATAACCACCGTAAGGAGAGTAGACCCTGAATGACATATTGGCAACAATTTGGGACCATGTTAGTGGGTGGATTATAGCTCCATTTTTTTGTTTCTTTACACATTTTTAATAATACAGTGAGCACGTTTTATGTGCAAGATGAGTACGTATCGCTGACAGCTGCGGTAACATCAAATTTAATTTAACTTTTCCTGTGCATAGGATTGTTGTAGTGTTGAACTTGTGAAAAGATTACATATGGTAAAAGGCCCGGTAACTTGCTTGTCAGGTGACCCAGCCACTTGGGCTGGACGGTAGAACGACGGCCTCCTTTTGTGCAGGTGTGCGTTCAATCCCCGACCGTCCAAGTGGTTGGGCACGATCCCCCAAACTCTCACAAGTCAAGCCTGGCCTCGGGCCGGGCTTGGGGAGTAGAAGAACTCCCAGAACCCCATCAACCAGGTATCAACCAGGTAACCCCCCCCCCCCCCCCCCGCTGTCCCATCCCAAAATCCTTATCTAAACCCCTTCCAAGCGCTATATAGTCTAATTGGTGCTTTCCCCTGATAGTTCTCTCTCTTTGTTTGTGAGGTATGTTAAAGGTGGCTATGACTGGAAGGTGTCCGGTTAGGTTGTACCAACAATTGTCACTTAAAGTCTTGTATCATCTAACATGTCCAGGTATATAGCCTAATGTGTGAGTGAATCTTAAGAGAATATCCCTTCCCATTCCACGATAGGCAGCTTGTTCCATTATTATCAACAATGATGGCAAGATTATCAAAGTTTCGCACAATGAACGCATTCCGTGAATTCCACTATGAATCCTGAGGTGGAAACTCCATACATCTGTGTACAGATGCTGCCGGTAATGCCACAAGGTAGAGTAATCCTTAGCACCGTTTGAACTGTCCGTTCTCATGATTTGCCACAACGTAGAAAATAAAGAGGTACCAAAACGCACGAACCCAAGCCACCCACCAACCCAAACCAACCTTCGCATAGAAAACGTGGATATTCAACCCCGCCCATCTAACAGAACGTCGCATTTTAATAACGTATACTTTACCCAAGGCCAAAAACTGTCGTACTAGAAAAATGGCAGCGGCTCGCGAAATTGACATAATATCCCGTTTTCTGCCCGTGGGTCCTCTGGCAGGGTAAGTAAGCAATTATCAAAAGAAGATACCAAACTGCCTCTGGTAGGGTAGGATAAGGCACTTTAGTACCACAGGTCACAACTGTCTCATAATACGTCTAGTAGTCCAATTCCTGAACCGATTATGTTCCTCTGTAACCCTTTACACCACCGCCCACCCACCGGGATGGGAATGGGGTGCATAATACAGAAACTGAATTGAATTGTTGCATTTCAGGTCCACGAGTACATGCCACTGGTGGACATCGGGTGTAGTCGACACCTGCGGTTCTTCCTGTGTTCGCTGTACGCCCCCATGTGTTCCCCTGTGGTGGGCACCCCCGTCCCCTCCTGCAGGTCCATTTGTCTCCAGGTGGGTCCACACACACGCCCGCCTGAAATTGAAATTGAAATAAGTTTATTGAGGTAAAATACACACAAAGGGATGAGGTAGCTCAAGCTATTCTCACCCCGTTTTACATAGACACACATCACAAGCAATAAACATATTACCGAACATTCTGAAATAAGTTTATTGAGGTAAAATACACACAAAGGGATGAGGTAGCGCAAGCTATTCTCACCCCGTTCAGTACATCGTGTTAATACATACATAGACACATCACAAACAATAAACATATTACCAAACATTCTGAGATACCACGCCGGCCTGCTCCACTATTGGTCCAGTGTGTACACAGGGCAGGCTAATGTCCTTGTAAGTTATTTATGTGGCAGAATAATGTCATTGTACATGGATTATATGACAAGGGTAATATTATACTTAAGATTGCAAGAGAGGGTAATGGTATTGTGCATAGGATTACAAGAGGGTAATGGTATTGTGCATAGGATTACAAGAGGGTAATGGTATTGTGCATAGGATTACAAGAGGGTAATGGTATTGTACATAGGATTACAAGAGGGTAATGGTATTGTGCATAGGATTACAAGAGGGTAATGGTATTGTGCATAGGATTACAAGAGGGTAATGGTATTGTGCATAGGATTACAAGAGGGTAATGGTATTGTGCATAGGATTACAAGAGGGTAATGGTATTGTGCATAGGATTATGCAAGAGGGTAATGGTATTGTGCATAGGATTATGTGAGAGGGTAATGGTATTGTGCATAGGATTATAAGAGAGGGTAATGGTATTCTGCACAGGATTATGTGAGAGGGTAATGGTATTGTGCATAGGATTATAAGAGAGGGTAATGGTATTCTGCACAGGATTATGTGAGAGGGTAATGGTATTGTGCACAAGATTATGTGAGAGGGTAATGATATTGTATGAAACTAGGATTAAATGGAAGATGATGCCATTATACATAGATTACACATCAGGGTAATGCCATTATTCATAGATTACATGGAAGTTGATGCCATTATACATAGACTACATGTTTCTGCTCATATGTATGAGCTGTGTGAGCAGGCACACACAGCTCTTGACAATAATACATTAACCGTTAATGTGCTACTTGCCTACAGCACTATGTCAACGCATTAAGTTAGTAATATTTGTAATTTGCGATGGCCATGAGTCATACAAACTGTTGTACCATATTCTGCAGCTCTGTGAATATTCACTTAATACAGCTGATATTGATTTTCTACTTTAAAGGATTGCATGGGTTTAGAGTAAGGAAAAAAGAACCTCATTATCTTCACTGTTTACCATACAGGTAAAGCAGAACTGTCTACCAGTGCTGCAAAAATTCAATTTTTCATGGCCAGCTGTTCTGGACTGCTCTCGACTACCCACTCCTGAAGATAATGGCCTCTGTATGGAACCACCTAACGTAACAGCTTCCTCCCTACCTCGGGACCATATGGGACCCTCCCGAACACTCCCCACTATGAGCATGCCTCCTACACCACATGTAAGTTTTGTTTCTCAAGTTCTTCTTGGTTGGCAATTTACATTTTGTTTTTATATTGATTTTAAATACTTTTGAAAACTTTAAATACACACAAAAAACTAAAAACTTTATAATGTACTTGATATTTGTTATATGCGTAATTGCATTTGTATTCTTATTGATAAGCAAAGAGGTCACCTTAAATTTGGAACACTAATAAGATATTATCAGCTACATCTTTCATTATTTGCCAGTACAGTATTAATTCAGTACTTGTTGGGAAGTCAGCCACTAACCAACAAGAAGACATAATTGAGGGGGAATTTTATCTACCAGGGTAATGGTATTGTGCACAGGATTATTTATTTATTTATTTTATTTATTTATGCATATACAAGAATGTACATAAGGAATGTGAGGATACAAATATGGTAATTACAGTCTTGTAAAGCCACTAGCACGCGCAGCGTTTCGGGCAGAAACGTGAAAATTATGTGAGAAAGTAATGGTATTGTGTATAAGATTATGCGAGATAGTAATGGTATTGTGCACAGGATTATGCAAGAGGGTAATGGTATTGTATGTAGCTAGGATTATGTGGAAGATGATGCCATTATACACAGTTTAGTAGTTTAGGCATCCATCAGTCTCAGGAGACTATGGAGTTGTGCTCTGGTTGTCAGTCTGGAGTGACCTCTCCAGGGTGCAAAGCCAGGGTAGGTTGATATGGAGAAGCTGTTACCCATGCAGCAGGTCCCCCCCCCTCTCCACAGTGCCAAAAGTCTCCAATGGAAAGGCAAACGCCAATACGATTGGTTCCAGCGCCGTCGCAGGAACTGAGAGCTCTGGGGTTGATCTCGAAGTTGGTGAAGAAAGGCACAGGGACTCCAAACTCAGAGACCACCGTGTTCGGGGCCAGAGAAGAACCACCCCAGAAAGGCAGAGCCTGGGTCTCACGAGCCCCACGAGGTGGACGTCCCAGTTCCGCACCTACGAGTTCCAGACAGAGATCGTCACAGTCCCCTTTCACCCGAGGCCGGCCTCCTTCAAGACCAAGCAGAAGGCAGAGTGATAATTATTAAATATAACAATTATTGTTATACCAATTATTATAATAATAATATAATTAATTATCACAGATTACACATCAGGGTAATAATATTATTCATAGGTTACATGAAAGCTAATGCCATTATACATGGACTACATCCACCTTTCAGAAAGGACAGAATGAAGATTATGGTTGACCTAGGCTGTGCCCAGGTCAACCATAAAACTCAAGTCATCTCGGGTGCCTCATCTAGTATCATTATGATGATGATGATTATAATAATTTTATTCATAAGAATGTGCATACAAAGAACAGAAAATGATGGGACAACTGTAGGTACAGGGGTTACACACAAAAAAATGAAGCCACAACTATGCAAAGCATTTTGGGAAAAACTTAAAAATTTTGTATCTAAATTATTATTATATAAGTATAATTGTATATTTGTTGTAATCCTTAAACATTGTCACATATACTAAATGAGAAGTAAGCTAACATTAAGTGTTTACTTAAGCTAACACTTAATGTTAGCTTACTTCTCATTTAGTATATGTGACAATGTTTAAGGATTACAACAAATATACAATATATAAGTGATGCTTAATGATGGGCAAAGACTATTTAATCACTTTAATATTCACCATTAGTTTACCACTTGATGTTATAGATCACCACACATTGTCTGAATCCTTTGCAGCTTATTTTGTCATTCATTGATACAAAAGCACCTATTATACCTCATTGTAGTCACACCTTTGAATTAAATGTATTTTCTGGGGGAGCCCCAATAGCTTTAGGAAGCTGCTGGAAGTCTCCCAGGAATCGGTATTTCATTACATTCAATGCAGTTTTTTTGTTGCAGGACCCTCCTAAGGTGGCTTGTCCCCCTCGGCAGATTTGGGTGGATAGCAAGGGCGGTGGAATGTGTGCACCCAAATGTGGCCAAGATGTTCTCTTCCGCAGAGCTGATAAACATTTTGCAGAGGTATGTACTCGCCTAGTTGTGCTTTATGTATTGTACAGTATATGCACATAGTGTACACACCAACACATACTCTCACTCCAGGGTTCGGCAGAACCTGGATGAAAATTCAAGCACTAGAAACCTTAAACAAAGTACAGAAGTTTGAGAACTTAAGATACAGTAGTAAGTAAATGATCAAGATTGCAAGGACTAAGTACAGTAGTGTATATTCAAATTATGAGAAGTAAAGGAACAATTTAAAAATGTCATACTGTACCTGTAAAATCAGCTACTGGGATTCTCTTCACAATCTATTGCAATTGCAGTACTGTATAGCTATATACATGTTGGTGGTGCCATTTAGCGGCAACAAAAGTTTTTATGTACAGTACTATTTATAATTATTTCTGTTACTATATCTACTACTGTAACTACCACTTCTGCAGGTGTGGATGCTGGTGTGGGCAGGACTGTGCTTTGTCTCGACACTCTTTACTGTCTTGACCTTTTGGCTGGAACCGGCCAGGTTTCGCTACCCAGAGAGACCCATCATATGCTTGTCACTCTGCTATCTCCTGTACTGCCTTGCCTACCTATCCAGGTGAGTCTTCACATTGTCTAGCCTTTTTCACTTGAATTCCATCAAATGGACCCTATCCTGCTCAGCAGATGATTAAATTGTTTTTTATATTCCCAGAACTTAGGTGAATAATAGTGAAGGTATCAGTTTATATACCAAGTTGACATAACTCATTATAATAAACAAAATTTATTCTATATTAAAAAAAAATTATGTTTATTCAGGTAAAAATGTATACATTCAAGATGAGTTACAAACAGAATGTTGGATTTCTAGAAAGAGCTAGTACATACTATGCCCATAGCCACTAATACACACAGTGTTTTGGGCAAGATGTGGGAAAAACACTTAGACTAAAGCTTAAAGCTTAAAACTAATTGTGATTATGTTCTTTCAAATGCATATTTTAAAGGAAGTTGGGTAACTGGTGCTGTGAATTTCCAGCTGAAATTCCAAATTTTTTTGCCAATCCTACACAAGGGTATTCACTATTAGCTTCATTTAGCCGTCAGTAAGTTGTAAACTGTGGCATGGCATAGGATTTGTGCAAATTAATTTTTAATAGGTCTAAATTTCCAGTGGCAAATTTAGATTGGCAAGTAATTTTTATTGGCAAGTTATAAAATATTGTACAGTACGTCTCTCGTGAAGTTCATTTTCATTTCATTAGTGTTGTTTAAATGATCAACGAACCTTTAAGACTTTCCATGCCTCAGGTTGGTGGTGCCAGTTGAGGTGCTTTCGTGCGAGGTGTCACAGAATGGGGTGTCGCACCTCGCTGTGGAGGGTCTACAGTCATCAGGATGCATCATCACCTTTATTCTGCAGGTCAGCTCCTAATAGCTTGTGCATTACTTTACGAATTGTTCCAAGGTAAAAGTGGCTCCCTACTGATGATGCATAATCACAAACACATGGATTTCTGCAATATCTAGGCTTAGCTTCTTATGTAATGAACAAATCCACAAGGGCCGTGACGAGAATTCGTGACGTTCGTGACGAGGATTCGAACCTGCGTCTGTGTAATGAAGTAAGGGCGAAGAGGGAGAACGGCCTATTGACATAGCTCGAGTGCATGGGGGGAGTTGTGTAAAACCATAGTTTGTGCCTCGGAGAGGCTGCAGGATCCAGTAAGTTCAGTAGAACTTCGTTTCAACTCCTTTTGACCATGTCGTAGCTCAGTCGATTAAGGCAGTGTCTGGGATGCTCTCGGACGCAGATTTGAATCCTCGTCACGGCCCTTGTGGATTTGTTCATTTGATGCATCACGCAATTGTAATTTCTGTGTGTAGTGTAGTGTTCTTATGTAATCTCTCATTTCCTGATGTAAATCTTGTACATGTGCTAATTTCTTTATATATTATTGATGTACATTGATGTACAGAAAGAGAAAGAGAAAGATAGTAAACTTTATTTATAGACATCACCTGCGAGAGTTTTGACTCTACTAAATACTGTACAAATAATAATTCATTTAGCAATCATCAAAATAAAGAGGTAGGTCACTATAAATGAATAGTGCTAACATATTCCATGTATATGGTTCTGAAGAACTCCTTTGTTAGGTTCATGAAAACCATCGTTATTTGCTAGTCTTGCACAAGTAGCTGATGTTATTTTGTTAATGTGTGTGCTAACCATATGTTAACTGCAGAATTAAACTAGCCATTGACTAAAACTAGAGATAAAAATCATGGAGTATTAAAATGTATTGTATGGACATTGAAGTATGATAAACATACCCTATAGTGATAACAAATTAAACTAGGTACAAATGTAGTCTCTTTGTTCCGAGTCCTGCAACTGCTCGGTAAGCATCTGTTAGGCTTTTACCTGCTTGTCAAAACTCTTATCTAAAGATTCAGCTCTTCCTTCTATCCCCATCTTACTCATCTTACTGTCATTTGAAGAAGAGCCACACATCTGTGGATCATCCAAAAAAAAAAAATCACTAGACTCCTAGATTTTACTACTGCTTGGTTTAGACACAGTTATAAGTATCTTTAAGAATTTGCATTACCTGTTGGTATTGTCCTTTTCCAAATATAAACTGTCAACAAAACTATTCACACACCCTCTGCCAGTATATGATGGGGTGTGAAAAGATACACAAATTTAGAGACAGCTTTATAACAAATGTTCAAGAAATATGTAAATATTTTATCCAAAATTATCGACTACCAGAAATTTGAGCCAAATATGCACAGTTTGCTAACTGTAGGTAGCAAATGCGGGTGACTGTAACCTATCTACCACCACCCACTGGTTGATGGTAGCGGGTGGTGTGCACGATAAGTAAGCCAAATTATAAATGAAACTAGCTCACCTCATACACAAGTTGCAAAGTTCAGAGACTGTTCTTATGCTTGTTCTCAAACCCATTGTTGATATAATAATTCTTTAAACTGTTTAACTCCTTTATCAAGACTGTAACTTGCTTCGGTAAATGAATTTTGGGATCGAGTTTCTGAGTCGATTATGTGCCTCTAATCATTTCCACTACTGCCAGTAAGTTAGGTATGGGGGTAGATAATAAATGAACTAAACTAACTAACCTTCTGTCAGCTGTGGACATCGATCTCTGTGAGTTTATACACAGGTAGGTGATGACCACCAATTTACAGCTGCAGCATGGGAAGTTTAGTAAAGAGATAAATCGTATACAACATTCAGGTTTGGAATCACTTTTAAGAGTCAAGAATAAACCACTTCACCTGACAGCTGATGGGTCATTGTGGGTGCCTCTGGATGTAATATGACAGCTGAGTTATTGTCACAGGGAAGTCCAGTAAGAGAGTAAAGAGTATATGTATATGAAAACTCTTATGTGCTCTGAATAAATTAGCTGCTTTATAATGAGAATAAGTTTTTTTAATGAACTATACAATTCTCATTTGGTTCTCGTATTGGGTGGTGTTCGGGCACAATTTGATGGTGTTCTTCGTTAATACATCTGGGAAAGATGAAAGGCTGAAAATTTAACAGCTTTAATTTGCAAGTGGTCCAAAGCTTTAGTAACACTAAATGTTCATTGTTCAGTTGTATTGGCCAAAACAGGACGAGAGTTCAAAATTTGGTTGGAAAAAATCCTCAGGAGTAATGGTGGGGGAGAGGGGGGGGGGGGCAACCTTTGACAAGCTGCATCTGGCTACTTATTCCCATCAAGGCCACAAAAACATGGTGGCTCCTCAGGTAAATTCTTGTAAATTTCTTTCCATTTACTAGTTCCATATGCATCCCATAAATACAATTAGCTAGTTAATCTTAATAACCAGAAATTTGTATTTAGTTTCATTTTGTGGTTGCTTGACTGCCAGAGATGGTTAGGAAGGGGTATCTATCTGCTGGTGAGTCTGTCGCAGCGGTAGCTGCAGCTTGGTCTCTTTACACACGCTACTCGTCCATGGTAAACATTTTTCCTTTCATAGTCATTCCAAGGAGCCAGTCACCGTTTACATTCTATTATTAATTTTTTTTTCTTCTTTCATTGTTTACACAGCTACCAGATCTGTTTGTTTACCTCTTCTAATACTTATTTCTGCTTATTCTACAAGGCAAGGGAAGCATCACCACTGTATTCTTTTACCTCTCGAATCATCAAGTTTCACTTGCCACCCATTACCTCATCCCTTTGTTTTTATTGTACAGTAATTCCCTCGTTCTTCCATTAACAGTGAAGCATTTGGTTAAGGGTTAGTTAAAAAGAACTTCAGCTTAGCTTTCACAGCTTGAAACTTCAGCGTGGCTTCCACTCATTTCTCTAACTGCTACATTAGTACTAATGAGTCCACCATGAGGTCTAGCATTAGATCATTTAATCACATCCTCCTGTATTAATTACTCATTAATAGAAGTGCATTTTCACTAAGATTATTTATATTTTAATTAAATTTTTCCTTTCAGTATTATTTTGGGATGGCATCGGGTATCTGGTGGATGGTACTGACATTGACCTGGTTCCTGTCAGCAGGAAAGAAGTGGTCATCTGAGGCACTACAAGCTTATGCTTCATATTTCCACACTGCTGCTTGGGGCCTGCCTGCTGTGTTCACAATTCTCATCCTTGCCTTTAAGCAGGTGAGTGATGAACATTAAGCAATCTCTTTAACAAGTGTGTGTGACTTCTTGCCTGAGAGTTTGTAGAGCTAAAGCCGCTAGGCCTGGCCTTTCCAACTGTCGTTCATGTAATTCACCGACCTCTGACCTCTTTGTTTCTTGTCATATTTGGTTTTAAAATTTAGGTGACGTTAGTTTCTACTATTACCCTTTCTAGTTCATTCCACTTGTTTACTGTCATCATCATCACTGTGGCTCATCTGCATATCTAGCTTCATCATGTTCCATCTATTTTCTTAATGTCAATTAGGTTCTGGAAATTTGTCATATTTTGGCTGTTTATTACCAAATATTCTTTTATTTTCATGTAAACCTCAAAATTAACCATATAATTTAGTTTTAAATATGCTCTAGGACTTTCCCAGGTACCAACTGTTCCTCCCAGTGTTGCATTTATCTATGATAAATGTTAAAAACATGTGTGTGTCTTTAATAAAATATATTGTAATACAGCATGTTGTATAGTAAAATATTAAATGAAGCATAGTTACTAGAGGCAGTTTGGTTATGGTCACAGCCATTGATAATATCCAGGGGACTGAAGCATTAGTGATAAAGATACCATACACTGGTTTATCTGTTCAGTAGATTATGAGGATATTCACTAATTTATGTTGAGTTATTTATGTTATTAGAATACTTGTGGGAGTATCAGTGGCATAATATGTACACCTTCAACATGTACAGCACAAAGAATAGGAGGAAGTAAATAAAATTGAGAGCTGAAATCTTACAAAAATAGTTTGCCATTATAAATGAAATTTATATGTTTAAAACAAGTGTTAAGTAAATGTTCAATAGCTAATTATTTCCAGGTGGATGGAAATGAGCTAGTGGGTTTGTGTTATGTTGGCAATGTACACCAGTGGGCCCACATGAGCTTTGTATTGGCTCCATTGTCTTCCCTTCTGGCCATCGGTACTCTTTTCATTGCATTTGGCTTTGTGGCACTCTTTCGCATCCGCCGTGCAATCAAGAACGAGGTGGATAATACACAAATTAGTGGAGGTAATTAAGCATGTCTAAAGTTTTTTGGCAGTAAGCATTCATATCTCCAACTGATTCATTACAAATGCAGTCACACAGGGTAGTAGTTTTAATTTACCCTGCTAGTTCTTATAACATAATAAATTAGCAGCATTATCATGATTCACTACCTTAATGTTTATCCATATTGTACAATCATAGTAGAATACCATTCTCTTGCCCAAGAGAATGTTATTACTTTAGTGATAATACTCACAATTTTCACAATTTGTTTATTTGCAACTTCAGTTCATTATTTTTCCTACATCCTCCACTTCATGTACAGGTGCTATATTCAGGTCCTTTGTTGGATGAAGATGTTTGCCCTTCAGACCTACACATGTATCAAATGTTCTCTCACTAATATTATCTCCATGCTTTCTTGCCTCTCAGTTCTAACTTATCATCCATCATAATCACTCACATTTGGCTCTTATATTATAAACCCCAAAATATGTCTTCCATCTCTTCATCCTTTTGCTCTGTGGAACATGCATGTCCATTACTGACATCTTTATTCAATCTTGTTTGAAATAAATCCGTTACTTTAGAACTCGCACAAATTTACCCAGTTCATTCATCTTGGGTACTGCATCTTTGGCATACCCAACTATACTCTCTGGTTGACCACATCTCTTGCCATTGCACATATGCCAGTAACTCAAGTCAATCATTCAAATTAAAAGCATATGTCATTTCTGCAAAGATTATGTCTGTATGTTTTATTTACATTAATTTTCACATTGTATACAAGACTCAATATTTTAATTTCTTACCAGTGCTGTAGGACATGCTATGCTTTTTTTCATAATCGTCTCTTTTCCTTTTTAACCAAAGTATTTTATCTTTTTAATACTGTACTGTGTAATATTGTATCCACCTCAAACGTTAACTAATAATTTCTCCGCAGGAACTAGTTTACCGTTAGCTGCCAACTCCTACCACGTAGCAACTAACGTAAATAAGTTAGAGAAACTCATGATACGCATTGGAGTCTTCTCTGTCCTCTACACTGTCCCTGCTGTGTGCGTTATTGCCTGTAATGTATATGAATACCTCTGCCATCAGCAGTGGCACGCAATGGCATCAGCTGCAGCTTTGCAGTGTGGTGTGGGAATGCACAGAAGTGGATTCTCTCACAAGCAATATCACCGTGGTATAGGTGGAAGTGCAGGTATGTGATCCTCTTGACTTTTCCCAGGAATCTGTCTATGAAGAACCAGTTAAAATAAGGACTAGGGTATTTTGCTGCAAATGTTTATTTGTGAACATTTGTTCACGTCTTATTTGTAGTAGGAAACCAGGTAATAGTGTTATAAAGATAAATGTTCATATTCTCACTGCATAGACTTGGTTACCACTGACACTTGACTAAAAGCTAAAACTGTTATTTACAGAATCTTCTATGCTACAGTTTAGTGACAAACCTCAGGCAAGGAGGATCAGTTAGCCTGAGACCCTGAACATTGTAACATAACCAATATAATTGCAATGATGCTGTGTTCTTGTGCTTGCTGAGCTCCATGGTTATTTTCATGTTACATTAAATGCAAATTGAGAAATGCAGGATATTGTTTGAATGAATGAGTCTTTGTCACCTCAGCATGTACTAAATATTTATTAGGTCTTGGATAATTTATTACCATTACTCATATTCCCCATTTTCATCAGGTTTGGGTCTGTGAACATTTGTATGATCTAGTACATGGCAGGTGAAGGCATAAGGAAGAGTGGCATGGGGGAAGGATAGGTTCTTTCATTGTTAGTCTAGCTACAACCAGCCTGCTTGGTACACTAGTTAGCCAGCCAGTTTGTTTGTTAGGTATCCAACCAGCCAGCATATCTGGTAGTTAGCAAGCCTGCCTGCCTGCCCACAAGGTAGCAAGCTTGCCTGCCTGCCCACAAGTTAGCAAGCTTGCCTGCCTGCCCACAAGTTAGCAAGCTTGCCTGCCTGCCCACAAGTTAGCAAGCTTGCCTGCCTGCCCACAAGTTAGCAAGCTTGCCTGCCTGCCCACAAGGTAGCAAGCTTGCCTGCCTGCCCACAAGTTAGCAAGCTTGCCTGCCTGCCCACAAGTTAGCAAGCTTGCCTGCCTGCCCACAAGTTAGCATGCTTGCCTGCCTGATTGCCTGGGAGTTAGCCAATGTTAAAGATACTTTCTCATTTTCATAAGATATGTAGGATGCAGTATCTACAATCGAATTACAAAAAAAAAAAAATTAACACAAATAAAACAAAGCAGTATTTTAACTACAGTAATAGAAACACTTACATTAATAACAACAGCAGCTAAACTTTATATACCAGTCATTACAGCAGTGTGAATGTTGTTCGGACCCTATGGACTATAACTATGAGTAGTTATAGTAAAGTAGAGCAAAGTAATTGCTCGAAAAAGTGTTTCATATACTCATCTTTGTTTTGTGGTAAATACAATAGTGTTATTTTAAATCTCTCATCACTTCATGAATAATTTTTTGGGGTTTCTTCTTTTGGCAGAGTGTACATTGGAGCAGAGCATACCATCTGTGGAGATCTTCATGTTAAAAATCTTCATGTCATTAGTCGTAGGCATCACATCAGGCATGTGGATTTGGTCATCAAAAACGGTAATATATATATAGTATACAGTATATATATATATATATATATGCTTCTTTTTTGGCTTTAAATTTTTATCAAGATTTTTTTTTACTATGGAGAGCCCCTCTGGCTCCCTGGAGCTATACTGGTCTAATATGTATCTATTAGATAATGGCATCAGTCAATTCAAAAAGAGTTCTTAGCCTACCAGGGACCACAAGCCAAAACCTGGCTCCCTCAGAGAGGCACGAGGAGCAATGGGGTATATAAACCTCCATGTGGTTGGAAGCATTCTATGTCTGCCATCTACCGAGTTAGGCACCCAGAAAAGTAGGCGTCCCAAAACAGACCCCAACTGGTAAGACAATAATATCTAAAGCCAAACTGCTAAGGAAAATTCCCTAAACTGAAAACAAGCAAACAAGCATGACATCACCATTGCCATTGTGCCGCTCTCTGCGCAGCTCTTCCCTGCCCGGGAGAGGAAGGGGGAGCTCCAGAGTGTTGAGTGGCAGTCATTCGACTCTGGCTCCAATTTTTGAGCAGTGCTGTACCTTGTGGTGGTGTGCTGTAGTGTGGTGGTGTGCGAGCCAGGTGTAATTCAAGACGTACTGGGGCTGCATGCACCTAGGGTCACATTCTCTAGGTGCCCTGTTAGTACTGCCCTTGCAGTTTGGGGTTACCTTCCACAAACTGTTCGGGAACTACCTCCACAGGGTTCTTTTGTTGCTCGGTTATTGCCCACCCTTGGGGTCAGCCGAGGGCTTTTTTGCCATTGTTTGACCTTGGATAGGAGGTAGTATTATCGCTGGCAGGGGCATGAGGTACTGTGCAGCTGTCGTATAATATGCATGGCAGCCGGTTTTGTTCCTCCTGAAGATGTACTTTTGCAGGGTTTTTCTTTTTCTTTTGGTTTGTTTGCCTGGTGAAGGTTTTTCTTGATGTGGCTACAAGACCACTTGTATTATTTTGGTAGCCCTCTGCTAGGCACCCGTGATTGTACACATGGCAGGGATTCAGCTTTTGTTTGTTTGTAACCAGTTAGCAGTACCTTGCCTGGGCTTCCCTCAGGAGTCAGCCTAAGGGCCCTGGAAAAACCCCATAGGGGCTCATTGGTCCAATGGATGCGTCCTCCGAGTCCCATCTCGCTTCGAACGAGTTTGAAGGTTGCTCTGTCCCCTTGTCTCGGGATGACACTCATCGTTTTCTGTGAGTGGTGTGATAACCAAGCTGTCCTGCTTGGGTTATAGGGACCCGAACATGGGGGCGTTAGTCGCCTCTTCTTTGGTTTTGTCTGCGCCCCCTTGTTCCCTTCTGTTGTACGTCCCCTTCCCCCCTGTTCCCGGCTCCCAAACGTCTGAGGGTTTCAGAGTTGAAGTTCTAGTTCAACAATACTTGTACCATTTTCATGTTTACGAATGATCTCTTGTTTTTTCCTCCATGGTCATTCTTACATGTGTTTTCTTGCCTTGAACCTTACCACTGGCTTTCTTGGGACCCATGTCGAGATATATAATAACAACTTTTATGCTCAAATAGCCAAAAATCCCCCCCTCCCCAAAAAACTGTAAATCCTTGCAAAGAATTCAGACAGGATAGTGCCTCTTGGCGGGAGGCACTGGTAAACTGAGGCGCGATCGCCGTGCCACCATGCACTAGGTCAGCCATACGCGTATCAACAAACTCGTATCCCGAGGTAAAGTTCATAGCCCGATTCATATTTTCCGAAGAAATCTAGCTCGTAACCCGAAAAGTTTGTAAAGAGGGGCATTCGTAAACCGAGGTACCACTGTACGTCATTACCAGTTACTGTATGTGATTACATATTTATTATATTTTTTGGCAGTTGGCTTCAAACATACCAATCTTGTTGGACTTCATTATGTGTTGAATTTGTGTCTGGAGAGTGGAGGGGGGCATTAAATATTAATTATAAAGAAAGTGTTTTAGTTCAAGAGGGAGAGGGAAGGGGGGAAATAGAGTAGGTTTATAGAAAAATAAGGGACATAATGATTTATTATAAATTGTCATCCACACTTCTGTGGAAATAAACATTCCATTCACCTGGGGTCTAGGAGACTCGAACCGTGGACCCCCAACATGTGTGAGACAGGAGCTCTATCGACCGAGCTATTGAGTAGTCTTAATAAGGAAAGTTTCCAGAAGCTGCATCCTGCTGCCAAACTGGAATTTTTTACTTTTCCCCCCTGACTACTACAGAAGAATTAGTGCTCCACACCCACGTCATATAAATTGTCATCCACAGCCACAAATTGTCATGACATGAATTGTCATGGAGTCTCTTAGAGCCCAGATGAGTGGAATGATTTATTATATTTTCAGTGTTCTAGTTGGCATAAATAACATGTATAAAAATTTCCATAACAAAAAATCAGATAAACCAGTGCTAGAGGGAAAAAGCTTCATTAAGAAATATGTATGCATCATAAGAGTAGATGAATAATGGAATGACTCAATTCCAGAATGTTGTAATAAGATGGGTCTGTTTATACCAAAAAAATAACACTGGCAAATACTGTATAGATAAATTATAAACAAGTGCTTACAATAAAGTATTGACATGACTTCAGGTGATGTTGTGGCAGAAGTTCTTCCAGGGTCTGTGTGGACAGCGTAAAGTCTTGAGGAAGAAAGATGGTCACATTTACCATCCTCCCAACCAGATGAAGAGTGTAAAAGCCACCAATGGTCAGCACCAAGGTGCTAAAGGTATGCAACATCCAGTACAACACCATCCATCATCCCAGCAGTCTGCAGATTTAGCTCAGTTTCCTCACAGGTTACACAGTTCAACAACTATGCATTTATCTCAAGTGTGAAGTTACACTGAAGAAATTAGCTAATAATTTTGTTTAGTCTATTTTATATTATAAAAGTACAATAGCTTTAATGATGAATAAGTATGCATTTTGAGGATGTTTGCAATTATTACATATACATACAATATTTCTTAAACAAAAGTGAATGTGTGTGCAATTATGTTCATAAGGATATGCTGTGTTTGAAGCACATCCATTGGGCATGTAGTGTGTATTTGGCCCTGCACCACGCCTGTAGGTCTACAGTATGTGAGTGAGCAAAGACCTGCAGTATAGATGGAGGGTGTGAGCATAAAGAGGGCTGCATTGTGGATTAGAGGGGAGGTGAGTTTAGTCCTGCAGTGTGAATTGTGGGAGAATATAAATATGCAGTGTAGATTTGATGAGGGAGGGGTTAAGCATAGTCCTGCAGTGCAGATTATGGGTGGATGAGCATAGGCCTGCAGTGTGGATTGAAGGGGGGGTATACATAGGCATGCCAATAGGCCTACAATGTGTGTTTATAGGCTTGTAGTATTCTACAATTGGCCTGCAGATCATACGTGTAGCCTTGCGGTGTCCTTTTATACTTGTACTTGATGAGTATTCCTGCTGTGTAACCTTCAGTCAACTCTCACTTCTCTTAGTGCATTACATTATAAAAAATGTTTGTCTTATTTAGTTTAAACTCATGTTTGTGTTCATGTACCACTTAGGACTGAAAATAAATTATCTTACATATGGCTCCTCCAAATTATTTTGCATGTATCAGTCGCATCTTGTCAGATTTTTGAGTGATCTAGGACTAGTTTGGTGAAATACCTCTGTACTTTCTCTAGCTTCATGTGCATTTAACAAGATATGAACTTCATGCTGGTAGTACATATTCTAAAATTGGCTTCACATATTTGCTATAAAAATCCTGAATAACACGTTGGTCAGATTTAGTGCTTGAATTTATATTTCTTATAACTCCTTACATATGTTCAGATTGGATTTCTATGTTTAACACATATTTTGATGTTTTACAATTGCAAAAGGTTCTTGGACTAATTATATATGCACTAGGATCATTGTTTACCTATAGAGGAGCAATTCTATTTACCTATTGTTTACCTATAGAGGAGCAATTCACCCATCGTAAATTTACCACTTCGCCTGTGCTGCTGCCTTCATGAAAGCTTAAAACATCCACATTTCAATGTCCCTTCCTCACATCCTCACCTATCCTTAGTTTCATCACCTGTTTCTGTACCCAAACTGTTCCACAGCTATACCAGGAGTAAAATCTAAGTAGAGCCTTTATCGGCCAAGTCATATTTAAATTCTGCTCCTCTTATTCTGAGGTACAGTACTTCTTCCTGGCCCACTGATACCTTTCTCTACTCTTATCACTTTATTGTTAATGTTGTTTTTATATTCCTGTGAGCATGCAAATTTTACAGCCCATCCTCCTGTTTTGGTAGTACTTAAAGGAAGGATGAGAATCATAGTACAGTACATATACCGACGTACAGTACAACGCAGCTAGAAAGTAGAAATTGGTACTAGTGAATTTATACAAACCGGAAAACAATTTTCTACTTATGTTGCAAAGACAAACTAAACCTAACCTAACCTTCCTAGGCCTAATACACACTATCTGAGGCCTAATATATTACATGTGGTATACTAGGCCTAGGAATATTTAAGTGTTTTTAGCTTAATTTTTTCTGACTCTTATAAAGAGAACAGTACAAAGTACTATCTAATTGCTTAGTACATCAATGTTTGCGCTATTATGTACGTAGGTACAAAAAGTACTATCTAAACAGAAGAATGGGTTGAATTTTTATAATATCTGTACAGGTATTTTTATTTTTTAATTTAATAAACTACCGTACTGTACATTAAACTGCGAGACGACTTGTGCCGTCAACCTGGTCTGGCAAGGGAACGTGTCGTGGGCAGTGCTGCCCAAGCCCACCATAAGTTTGTACCTACACGGTGGTCCCCCCCCCCTTCCCCATTGTATTTTCTTAATTGTAATGCCTCATTGTTTATTCGTGTTCTTGACTGCAGTATAGGCCTGTGTTAAGGCCATTTAAAGAATTCCCCAACTTGCTCATGACTGTCAGAATGCAAAAAGTTACCAAGACTATACCAAGTACATTTGTTTCCTGCCTCATAATATTAGTCACCATATGAAGTAGTTTTCTAAAAGCAAGTTTTGTTTTAAACATTTGCATTAGTGCATTTGTTTATACAGAATATTTTTTGTATACAGCTCACCTTTTGAAGTTGTGGCTGTCTAGATCATAGAATGAAGAAATTATACAAAATAATTATTTTGATTTAGTAAGACTTAAGATTATGCATGTACTGCACATCAATCAATTCCTCAGCATGACTACTTTTAATGGCCGAGTAATTATGTACTGTATTCACATATTATATATATATAATTATAAAATGTACACCTTGTTTATCATCTAGTGTTAGCTATACAGTTAATCACAATCTTTGTATTTATGTATATATTTTTGTAAATATGTAATGTAAACAATATATATTTATTTTTATGTCCATACCTCTAGCATTATGTATCTAACTCCTGTGGACTGTTTGAAGAAACTATATATTTATTTACTGTCTAATTATGCCTTGGTGAAAATATGCTTCCATTATTTTGTTACAAATAGTTTAAAACCAATTAAAAACAATGTCAATGTCTGTCCAGTGTTGGAGCCCGGACACTTGGGGCTGTGTTTATTAACATTGGCAGGGCAACTGGTTGGAATTAGGGGGCATACAGTATACACATGCACATACAGCATATTAGGTCTACAATATACAGTAAAATTATATATTTTTTCCATACTGCAGTATACTGTATAAAATAATACAGTATACTGCAGTATGGAAAAAATATATAATTATACAAATAGCACACAGTATGTGACATACAGCATGCTATATACTGTATGCTCCATTCAGCACAGTAGGCAGCATACTATATACTGCATGAAGAATTATAACAAATTATATTAAAAAAGCATGTAGTATGCAGCATGCTGTATGTAGCATGCATCATGCTATACGTAGCAAGTTTTATGCAACAGTATGCATCACGCTATACACAGCATGCTATATACTAATATATACTAATATATATATATATATATATATATATATTATATATTACACACACACAGCATGCATATATATGCTGTATACAGTGTGCTATATATAGCGTGCTGCATGCTAAATACAACATATATAATAAAATATATATTTTATTATATATGTATATAAAAACTATGCTGCATACTTTACACTATAGGCTACATATAGGATACCATTTCCATAGCCACTGTTCCATTTAACAAAAATAATGTGAATAGAGGAGGAAGTAAAATGCATTTTTAGTTTTAGCTCAACAGTAATCTCTTTATTTTACCAAAATATACTTTGGCAACAAATGTAAGTGTTTAGCATACATCTAGATTGCTGTAAAAGGGAGAATAATGTGGCCTGAAAGGCTAAGCAGCCAAGTTTGGTTAATCCATATCACGAGCATTTTCAACCACATTTCAAAGGATATTTGTACTTCACAATCACAATAAAAATTACATATAAAAAACTATTACATTTATTGAACACTGTCAATAATAAAAATGTTATACAACTATTTGGCATAATTTCACAATTTGTTTTCTATAATTTAAAAAATATTTCACTTTCCACTAATACACACCCAACTGGGGCAACTTCTCACACACAGAAGCACACATCACTAGTCTTTTACTAAATATTTTTAGAAACAAGACTTGTGTCAAAAAAATTTTGTGGCTTATTAGTTCCTTGATACTTACCAAATTTAGAGTATTGAATACTTTAAGTTACATAGATTCATATAATAACCAACATGGTCATGTATTTGCCCTTTTTATGACATTTTCATTAACTGGGATTAAAATATCTGACTTTAAAAGGACCATTAGAGGTGTCTATATTTTAATAACAAAAGTGTCTTCAGATTAATACACAGTCATATGGCTTACACAACACTCAGGCATATGGGTCTCTGAAACAAAAGCAGCTTTAGCAATATGAAACAAGGTTCATAACAATCACTGAAATGCAACTTCAATAGTCTGTCGTAACTAAATAAGTCTGGCTCGATTCAGATAAGCTAGGAGGACCTGATACACGAACTTGTATTGGGCAATGGTCTGAACGAGCACCATCCTCTGCTGCCTCAGGTGAAGGAGGACCTTTGGGGGATCCAAAGGTAGATTGTGATCTGTGGCCTCTAAAAGAAGGTCACACAATATGGTGACACCAGAGCGACCCACACCTGCTGAACAGTGAACCAGAACAGGGGTATTGCGATTACGTCCAACACCTCTAACCTCTTGATAAGTATACCTTCGCAGGGTGGATAGCTCTTCCAGAAAACCTGTGGAACAAATAGAACTAGTATTCTTCCATGTATCATCATTAAACCATTTTCCACTTTCATGAAGGGGAGGCAACAATCCCAAGAAAATAGGGTACTGCAGTATTATAGGAAAAAATTTAGTATTTAAAAATTTACACCCATTATTTCACCATACCTTACACCGCATGGCAGCACAGAACCAGCACCTGCAGCACTAACAATTCACAAGACTAAATCTACCCTTCCTCTCCCCCTCAAATTCATTAATACTCACTATTCACCAGTCTTATCAGCTATTTGTTCACGATAAAATCATCTTCATACGCTTTTCATGTTAGTTTACTTGCAATTGCACAACAAATATTCCCATGACATTTTCATTCATTCCTCAATCAATATATCTAGCACCACAAAAATTTTTTTTTTTTTTTTTCTGTTGTAATTCTGTAAACCAGCACCTTGTAGCTAAACATGAAAATAGACAATACTACTTCTTCAAAGCAGCCCTCTGGTCACATGCGCTGCACCAGACACTTTCCTCATCTTTGCTCTCATAACTTTATCTTTCACCAATCACAAATCCTAGACATTAAATTGATCAACAGTTTCTAGCACTTTACCATTTGCACTAATTTCTCTCACACAGTTCCCTTCTCACTCCACCACCATAACTATGTTTGGCAACATTTACTTTCAACAGTCTTCGTCTCGAGAAGATCATGAAACAACAATCTCCATTTTCTAATAGAAAAGAACTGTATCTATATGCATCAAAATGTACATGATCCATTTATTCCCATTACTTATCAAATTCACACCCTTATGGTATTTTAACAGCAATGAAAATATTTGAATACTTGGGCTTAGAGATGCAAACAGACTTTTATAGTCATGCCCTAAGGGGTAATTTTTTCAACTAGTTTAATAATTTGTCCATTAAATAAAGCAGCCTGCTAAACATCCCACATTACAGCTGATCTCCATAAAGGCACATGCCTAGTCTACTAGAATTCTGGCATTTTATCTTCCATTATTGCACCAGCAATATTATTACAACTGTCCATGTACTTTAGTTGCCACATCACCAGTTAAGTTCCCCAATGCTTTAATTTTCCCACCTGTTTTTTATTTAAGAAACTTTTTACTTCCAAGTTTGTATGTACTCGATACGTTTAACGTTTCTGATCAAATAAATCTTTCATATGCCTTTTTACTCATTTTACTACCGTTCACTTTCTCATTTCATTAATTTTAATGTACAGTAACCTACATTAAAAAATAATTTAAGTGCATAATATAATGAATAAACTACTGTAGATAGTGCAAGCACTTGACTATTTTCCACAGCTGCCACCCCAATGGATGGGTGTAGAGCATTATTAGCAACTGACTGCTAACCATAGATATAAATTGATCTGTACAGACTAGTGGGCCACTTCTTGAACTGCTTGTGATATATAAAATACTATCAACCTATATATTAAATTGTAACTAGCTTCACAAGATTGTTACATGCTTAACTAAATGAACTTCACGGTTCAGTTCTCGAGCCCCTTATGTGCTTCAACTTTTTCCACTACTGCCCAAGGGATGGGTATGGGGTGCATAATTGAAAATCAGTATAACCGTTGAGAAGGCAAAATACCAATATGATTTTAAAATTAAGCTCTTCAAACTGTTCTTAAATGACTAGATCAAAGGCATTAGGGAAAACTGTGGAAAGACCATTCCACATTCCACCAAGAACTTTTTGTTCCTTTACCTTATGTTACCTTCAGCAGTGAACTATTTAACAACCATTCACTCACTTTTTTTTTTTTTACGACTATAAAGTTTTGGGTCCCATGGTATTTATTTTACAAAGTGTAGTTATTACTCACTGATGTATCCCAAAATATCTTCTGGACATCCATGATCAGCCCAATCTGTAAACTGCAAGTGCCAAATAGTGCGCGTCTTACGTGCAGGGACGTGAACTACCTGCAGCCGACTGGTAACGTGGGATCCACTCACCGTGCTATGCTTCCTCATCACTCGATACTACAAGTAAACCAACAATTTGACTAGAAAGCCTGACAATATAAATAATACACTGGGATACAGAGTTATTGTGCACTAAGCTCTTTATATAATAATATTCATGTACTTGTGAAAACATGGGCTAAAAAAAAATGAACATTTACATTCATAAGACAGCCTAGCTTGCACAAAACAACATGCCAATAAAATAATAATATAGTAATTCACAGTATCCATCCTTCCTTAATTCACACAGAGAAAATAGCTAATACAAAGTGTTAAACACTTCCTGAATGCTTTATGTCTATTGGTCACACTAAGGTCTCATCAGGTGAACTTCCACATCCTGTCACTTATTACTCCTGGTCACGGACATAGTCATTTTCTTGAATATTCAACCCCTCTTATGTGGTCTTCCTTCCTTTTGCTACCTTTCATTGTAATACTGCAAGCTTTCATGCACACACATACACAAATAAAAAATCTAATCCTTTCAAAAGCATTCTCCATTAATAATTTCACTTTAATCTTTTAAATTGTCCATTTAAATTAAAATTACTGTAATACTTAAAATGTGTTTATATATAGTAGATTGGATCTAGAGTAATATGCCTTGGAGGAAATAAGTAAGTAAGTAATTATCAAAAGAAGGCACCAAACCGGGAAGGCTATCTTGGAGGAAATAAGAATTAAACCAAAACTATCTAAAATTGGAACTCTGTTAGCTCCTTGACATTGATATAAACTTGAACAAGAGATGATGGCCAAGACCAGTTCACCGATTGATGAAGGATGTGATATTCCCATCCCACGAGCTGGCAGAGGATTCCTACACTAAGCACATGCTAGAGAAACCCTTGGTGGAGCCTAAACTCCAAAGATATCTAGAACTATTGAACTAATTAGGAGTTGATTCCAGCCAACATTCCTGAAGAACCATTGGAAGAGCGCACTGTAAAGTGATAACTCTTGAAATTTACTATCCACCCAAAACTCTTGTAACTCAAGAAGTTAGGGTGAATATGAAGATGCAAGTAGACATTGAAATAATAAGAAAAAGTTGTTGTGTTGTTGTTAGAGATTCGCTACCTGGAACAAAGTTCCAAGTAGCACGGGCTATGGTGAGCCCGTAGTGCCATTAAGAAAAAGTTAATGTGACAGTGTCTATTTTAACACTGAACTGCCTTTGTCTTTTCTGTCAGCTCTTGCCCTTTTTCCGACCCCTCAGAGTGGGAGTTTTGAGGCCTTTTTAAACTAATATGCAGAAGCTCCTTTACTTGATTACTAGCTGTACCCGACCACGCATTGCTGATAGTGTCTACCTATAAAGACAGCCTATCCTCCTCAAATGATAGTACTAATAGCAACTATTTGGTCAAACATACCAGTATGTACTGTTGAACCTCCCAAAAAATCACATTTTGTATTACTGAATTAGTCCAAATGGCATTCTAGAAAATTTGAAATATAACTAAAGAACCTAACCTATCCAAGTAATCCCAGGCCTAATAAATGCTATCTTAGGCTTAATACATATGTGCACTATATAAGGCCTATGAATATTTTAGTTTTCCGCTTTTTATCTTTGACTACAGTATTCCATTAATAGTACAAAATACAAACTTTTGGGGGGACCAACAGTACATATTGGTACATTCTGCCAAATAGTTGCTATAAGCACTATCATTTTAGAAGGATAGGTTAAAATTATACCTACTAATACACATTCAAGTTGCTGGTACAAATTTCACCCTCAACCAGACCTACCTGTCCACATTCAACACTTGTGTTATCTGTTTGTGGCCAATAAGGAAAACTCTTGCTGGTAGCTGTGTCACCAGTAACGGAAGTCAACATAACCACCAGATATACATCTGCCTCCCACACACATTGCCAGAAGTGTGCAACTGTGTTGGCAAGAGGGCCTTGGCAGCAGATGTAGAACCGCTGGCTCTCTCCAACACTTGCCTACAAATTGAAGACCAAAGTTATCTCACGAGCATATATTGATGCCATCTCATGAAGCATTATAAATTTTAACAACAATTTTGGGAATGTACAGTATTTTAGAAAACAAATTTGAGAGCAGTGATCTAATTTATTCATTTTGCCACCAGAATATCAGGGGAAAAAATAGAAGTTACAGCAAATCAATTGAGGTTCTTGTTAGGCATTTAGTGATTTTTTCCACCTCTAATTGTTTACATTCTCTGGTGTGTTTTGGAGATGGAGAATATGTATGATTTTATTCAAGCTTATTCTTATACACATTCATGTGTGTGTATATGCAAATCATCTTGCTTTGGAATAGGATAAAATTGATAAAAGTTGATCATTTATATTATTAAAAAAAATTCAACAAATAAATTGCAATAACTGACTCCCGATTGACAAATAAAATACATTTTTCTTAAAATATTTTCAAATACACTTATGGTATTATGAATTTCCCCAGATTATATATACTGTACTTGTACTATTGGAACATGGTGTATAATCAGGTGGTCAATTGCACTTACAGTGATATGGGAGGCATTAATGTAGCCATATTTGTTGTCCTTGGTGGGAGTAATCTTTACTCGGTTCTCTTCATATGGAACAATATCCTTGTAGCGGTTACGTGGAATATTGTCTGGTTTAGTGGCCGTGGTGAAGTCTGCATTTGGTTTCATACGTGGAATAAGCTCAAACTCCTGTAGAATATCACCACTCAGTAATTTTGCCTCCAGCTGAAGAGACTGCAATAAAAAAAAACATTTCTGTATACAGTATATACTGTACTACCAAAAATTACAATCTATAGGTTTAGGTATGAATACTTTTGAAAATCTTAACAGGTAATTCATAATAGAAAGTACATATTTAATTTACAGGAAGGTATTACTGTACTTGTTTGAAAACACAAAGGCTTTTGTGAGGATCCAGGATCCAACCCCACAACAAGCTGAGTAACTCCTAGGTACCTATTTACTGCTAGGTGGACAGAGGCATTAGGTGGTAGGAAATACACCCAACCATTTCTGTCCCACTTAAAATTCAAACCTGCCATTCAAAATTGAGAGTCGAGAATGAACCCAACTACTACCGGGACCCTTTATGTATTCATAAATACCTGCCATGATAGGGGATTTTGATTCTGACTGGCAAGACAAAGAAATCAAATTCTAATACTGTACAGCAACACTTATTACTGTGCCTCGGTTTGTGTTTCAGAGAGGCGGCAGGATCCAAGCAATTTCAGTAGAACTTCTGGTTGCAATTCTTTTGCCCATGTCGTAGCTCGGTCGATTAAGGCAGCGTCTGGGATGCTCTCTGACGTAGATTCGAATCCTCATCACGGCACTTGTGGATTTGTTCCAATACAGTACAGTACTATACTGTATTACCATTTTAAAACCTACAATACTAAATGTTAAAAGTGCCTTATTATGCTGTTAAGAAAAAACTTATCAAAACCAGTGCCTTACCCTTGGATCTTTTGGTCCTGCTTTAGAAAGTGTTGCTCCTCTCAGCACATCCGGAGTTCCCCCGTTAGATGTCCCTGCTCCCTGTAGATTATCAATGCTTCCAATCACATCATCAGCAACCACAGCCTCTCTCATGGGAACTTGTCCCAGGTCACGCACAGTGTGAGAATCTGTTGACGTTTCTTGAGTCCTTAAATGTGTAGTGTCCCGAACTGTGAGGAAATCTGTAGATGCCTCTCGTGTTTTTGACTGGCTTGCGTCGTGTGCTGCTAGAGAATCTGCAGTTGCTTCTCGTGTCTTTGTCAAGCCTGCATTATGCACTGTAGGAGTGTCCTGGGCAGACACAGATGATGGAAGAACAGACTCAGACTGACCTGCTAACAACAATGAACCAGAAGGTGGTGCTCCCCATTTTTTTCTTGGAGAGTTTTTAATAGCACTGGTGTCCCCACCTGTTTCCCGCTGATGTGTAGATTGTTGCTTTACCTGCTGTGTTACTCCCACTGCTTGGGACTGTTGTCTTAACTGTTGCTGCTGTGCCAACTTTTGGGATGCCTGTTGTTGTTGTTGTTGTTGCATCTGCTGCTGCAGTTGCTTTTGATGTTGCTGCTGTCTCTGTTCCTGAATTTGCTGTTGTCTTTGTTCCTGTGCCTGTTGTCTTTGTTGTTCCTGTGCCTGTTGTTGCCTTTGCTGGTCTTGCTGTCTATGTTGTTCCTGAATTTGTTGACGTTGTTGTTCCTGTACCTGTTGCTGTCTTTGCTGATTCATTTGGTGTTGCATTTGTTGCTGTTGCAAGTGATGGTGACTGCTCTGACTAAGAATCTGAGCACTCTGTTGCTGCTGAGCTTGGAGCTGCTGAAGTTGTTGCTGTTCTTTCTTTTGTTGCATCTGCATCTGTTGCTGAAGTTGCTGTTCTTTCTGCTGCTGCAGCTGTAACTGTTGTTGTAATTGCTGTTGCTGCTGCAAGGATAAAGCTTGCATTTGTTGCTGTAACTGTAAATGGTGGTGATGGTTATGACGAAGTTCTTGTTGTGCACTGAATACAGGTATCTGCCCCATGGCAGTGTTAATTGCCTCAATAGGTCCTCGCTGTTGCTCTCCCAAACGGTTTTCAATATAAATTTGGGGGTCTATTGCAGACTGTCTAACTGGCTGCGAGAGTGCCCTGCTCCTTCCTCCTTGCACATCCTCACTTCCTAACTGACCAATTAAGTGATTTCCTTGTGCTGCTCCAACTACATTCATTGCGTTATTATCAATTTCTGGAGCTGAACGAGTGCGTTCACGAGATTCATCAGTTCTGAGGGCAGCAATATTTTGATAAATAGGCTCTTGTGAGCCTTGTACCGCTCCACTAGGGTACTGAGGATCTGTGTACTGTGCTGTAAATTGTGAATTATAATGTGGAGGAGCAGTATACTGAGGTGTAGCACCCTGTTGCTTTTGCTGAGACGGTTGGGAAGACTGGTCATTAGTAAACACTGGATTAAGATTAAGATTTGCTCCGACAGCAACTCGTCCATCACTAAGTTGATAAATTGCATCAAGGTCATTACAAGAGTAATTGTGACTAAATGAATGAAGAGACTGATAAATTGTGTTGCCCGTTTCTGTTGTTCTTGTTAAATCATTACGAAGACTCTCAACAGCTTCACTCAAGTCTGCTAAATTTTCATAGGTGCGTGAGAGATCAGGTGACCCAAGACATCCTAAGGAAGCTGTCAAGAGTGCTCGACGTCTGGAAGCCAAATCTGGGCTCATATTTCCACCCTAGAAATATAAATATAATTAGCTAAATAAAATAAAATATACTAAAAATAATTTTTTTGTTATATTTTCCTGAATTTCATGAAGGATATATAAAGGATTATAATAATACATATAAAGGATATATTTATTATGAATAAGTACGGAGCAAGATGAATGGCCATACCTGGTTGATTGTGGCCAGGTCTGGCGTGCTGTTACTGGACGGCTTATTGTAGGGGTATGGAGGTGGTGGCTTGTAGACGTGAAGAAGCTCGTGCTCTTGGTCTCTCCCTGCATCACCGCACAGTGACCCACCTTCTAACACCTCCCCAGCTCCTGTGGCTAACTCTGGACTACTACACAATACAATATTACTGTAAAAACTTATTTCTGAAAACAATTCATTGTGTTTTATGCCACCAATGATGCATCTCACTTGTCATGCAAGTCAATCGTTCTTTTTATAACTATGTGCTTATGGGGGTCTGGTGCAACACCACTTCATTCTATAAAACTGTACCACTGAATATTTAAATACCTGTATATCATCCCTATGTAACTACAAATATAAAAAAAAACACTTCTTGCCATAATTTTTGGCATGAGCGCAAACTTGTTCTCAGAATGCAATTATGCAGCTACAGTATTGTCCAGATGGGTCTGAGTGCGTGTATGAATGTTTTGACAATTCAACCATAAATAATTGTATATGGTATATATAAGTTATTTTCTATTTCATCACTACTATTTATTTACAATTACTGCAACACAAAAAATTAACACTGGTTAACATATTGCCAATATTCTAACAGTTTTAGTAAGTTATTCATTCCTTTATATTTGTGCCAAAGATAATAGAATTCTTTTTCCAGCACATGTGGCCAAATTTATTGGGTTACCATTTACCGTTTTCACAGACTTATGAAAAAAAAACATTTTCCAACATGAATAATAATAATAATAATAATAATAATAATAATAATAATAATAATAATAATAATAATAATAATAATAATGTTATACCACCCACTACAATTAACCCATTTAACAGAATTTTTTGCAAGTTTTCCTTCCTACCAAAGGGATTAAGAAATATTTCCCTCTTTCTCAGAGATCCAGCTCTTAAATATTTGTAGAATATTAAAGCAACTAATAAAAGTGTTGCCTTACAATTATATATGCATTTTTTTAAATACGGCTACATCACGTTCATTACACTTTGCAAAATACCTGGTAATTTTGTCCTTGTGTAAAATGGCATCAGATCAAAAAATAGTCACTAATGCCCTTTGCACTCATTCCTCTCAGAGGCTTCCTTACTCTTCCCCCAGTTTTATTAAGGAAATGTTTCCACCTTCACTAGCAAATCTCCTTACACAAATGTCTTCCTTTCCCATAAAAGACAAGTGAAGACTTAAGTGTAGTGTGTGTTCTCACCTGTATGTATTGTGCAGAGGACCAGGCATGAGTATTCCAGCTGATCGGCTCAGCTGGGGTATGGCTGGGTCAGGATGTATGGACAAGTCCGTGTAGCCCTTATAGTGACTGTAGCTGCTAACTCCTCCGGCTGGCTGCGATACTGTTTAAACACTTATTTTACCACTACTTGCTAAAAAATAGTTTGACAATTTGTACTTTTTGCATAGGGGAAAAAGTAAACACTTTAATTTGAATATAAAATGTCACACTTTCTCCAATTCCATTTAGTGTATTTTGTTTTACAAATTTTAAAGCCCATTAATTCATGCAATTTATTGAAATTGCATCTATATATCTATACCAGCTTGGCAAACTCATGTCCACACTGGCAACTGCTGTTATTACATAATATTACATATTACAGTTTCCTTAACCCTGGTATTACAGGCTTGAAACAGAAAAGGAAACCATGAACAAAATCAAGTTTCACCATAAAAAAAAAGGTAAGTACCACTTTGCCTTACACTCCATACCATGCTTTACTCTTGGTAATATCTTGACTGCAAGGGTTCTCACATTTTATTAAGCACTTACACACAAACCAGTTTCTTCAATAATGTCAACTTGGCACATCTCTACATCTCAAACATACAGTATTATAATTTATACTAGTATATTTTGGTAGCAGTCTTTCTTGTAAACATTTGTTGAATACATGTGTCTTTTTCAGTCATATTCAACAACATATTATAATTTACTGCATAACAATTCCTCACATCCCGTTACAATACTTTTATATTATGTCAATTTATTTTTTTATTTAAAAAAAAAAAAAAGAACAGTGCAGATTCTAATAGCTATAAAGGTGATAATTGCATTAACGATGATACTAACAAAAGTGCTTTACGTTCCACTTACATTCATGTGCATTTCCTTCCATGACATGACTGTTGGATATCTCTGGCTGAGAAGAATACAGCATAGTGGCTCTTACATTAGCAGGATTTACCCCTGGTCCATACTTCTGTATCAACGCAGTCTCGTAATCTGGTGCTGGCCGGTACTGAGGCAGAAGGCTCCTATTGCAGGTAAACAATAATACATCTGGAAATTAGGTGGGTGTGCCTTTAGGTTACAAGTTACTAGAGCAGACAGTGTGTCTGCTAAATCTGCTTTGTCTTCAGATAAAGAGTGATTTGAACAAATGTAACGCTAGTTTGTTGCAGTTGGTCAAGAAGTAAAATCCCCAAAGTTCTTTTTTACCTATAAGCTGCATGGATAATCTTAAGTTATCTGCTGCTATTCCTCCTTCAACCTCTTCCCTGTGATATTCAACTGACCCTCCAAGAATTCCTTTAATGCCACACCTCTCTAGGATAATCCTATTGATAAGCTTTTTGACAAAAATTAAGACAGGTTAGGTTATTCTGTACATCATAACACTACAAAATTTATACACATTCACAAACTAGTGTCAATTTATAAGCTTCGTAAATTTTTTGAGGGGGCCCAATAACGAAATATTAAATCAAACCAGGAAAAATTAAGCAATATCATTTTTGCTTGAATTTTGCAGCTAAAATACAAATTTGAATAAGTTTATCAAGTGTGTTTATGATGATATTCTATGGGAGTAGAGCATTTGTGGCCAAGTGCTGCAGAACTGGGCTACTTTTATATCAGAGAAGTGCTCAAAACTTTATTTTTTTTTTCTTTTCATTATACTGTACTAACAAAACATGGATTTTAAACAGTTTTCATGGCATACTCTGCATGGAAAGACCACTTGACCTCGCTTGTGACAGCCACGGCCTCCTCGCGAGTCGAAAGATTTCCCCATTCCGGTTATTTTATCTCGGGTATTTGTTGTTGCGGGGTTTACAAACACTGCAATTTGACTTCCAGATGGATACTAATCAAGAACAGAGCCAATCCATGCAGTGAAAGAAACACGTTTGAAGGGAAAGTTATAGTATGTTCATCAAAAATATAGAAAAGTGAGATGCATGTTCTTATATGCAAATATCACTTTACAGCATTATATTGCAAACAATTTGATACCAAACTGAACGATGTAGCACAAAAATTGTGACAAACCTGAAAAAGAGTACAGTACAAATTTTTTAATCCGGGTATTGTGGGAGTGCGGATGGGTGCTCGCTCACAGGTATCGCTCTGACAATTTTCGGGTTTGCTGCAGGTGGCACATCAGGCATTTTGACCTTATATGCATAAAGTATATTTCTTTAGAGAATTCTATTTTGAACTATTTGATACTAAAATGAACAATGTAGCACAAAAGTGTAGGTGGGGAAAAATGAAAAGCATAAACATTTTAGTGTGGGTGCTCGCTCACGGGAAACGCTCTGCTGACCTTGGGGTGTGTGGCGTGTCACCGCCAACCCAGCAAAAGTGTTAACACTTTTAGCATTATATACAGCATTATATATATGATATCCTATAGCCGAGAAACACTTAGTCCAAGTAACTTGGTATTGGGCTTTATGTATTATATTAAAGAACAGACTCGTAAATGTTTGGTTATTCTACTGCTGAATTCTTTCTTTTTAAGATTATCAATTACATAAACAGGCTTTCTTTTTCATAAATGAAATAACTTTTTCAAGCCCCAAGTTAACTGTTGCTGGCTAATATCTGAAATATTAAATTCCTGTATAGTTTTGAACTTTCACTGCAGCACCTTTCTAATGAATACTATTATACAGTGTTTTACTGTAATACTGCCCAGCTTTATGTTCTACATTTAATTCTCAAGTCAGTCCAACATCTCTAACACCAGCCCCTTTGCTAATGTCCTTTTACATGCTATTGCACCTAGCTATTTCTTAATTCTATCTGGGAATTTTTTGTTGGCAAGTTTGTCCTAACCCCAAATACTTACCGTCTAAAGCTCCCTCTAGCTGATGGAAGACTAAGATTGGAAGAATAGAGAGCCACTTGCTGACCTCCATCACGCTGCTGTTGTTGAGACTGCTGCTGCAAGGCGGAAGGCTGAGAAACTTGACTGTGAGATGCTATGACAACCTGTCAATGAAGGAGAAAAATCAGGAACTTTGTCTTCATAACTAAAGGAATTCAAATGTTAAAAAATCCAAATAATAAACACATTCCACATTCAATATCCCTAGACATTCATGATATCAATCTTTCTAATTTACTACCTGAATACTTCAGTAATGAAACCACTTCCAATATTTCAGCATGTTCCAGAAAAATGGCTGCACGTTACATTAAGTGTATATGTAAACACACAGTATACACCTTTCATTACTGAGGAGGCACGCTCATGCAGACTCTTCAACCAAGATTTCCTTATACACAGGTGCTTCCTTAATTAATCTTCTTAGATCTGTCATCCCTTATACTGGTGTTTATTCACATTCCTCTAATATGACTTTGTAACTTTTGTCCAATTCTATTTCCTTGCTTCAAGCATTTGTTACCATTACCACCAACTGACAAACTACTTCACATAATTCCATAGTCTTGCTTAATCATCTGGAATACACTAATCAAAATAACTGACCTGGTTCTGTTGAGGATGATGGGAGGCATTTAGGGAGAATGCTGACTGTGACAACAACCCATAAGACGGGTCATTCATTATCTGTGAACTGGAAGACTCTACTGCAGGACCCAAGTGACTGCTGGTCTCTCCTGGCTAAATAGCAAACACAAAAATGTTATGTAATTTAAGACCATGTAAAAAACAAACTACACATTATATTATGTTTTCTCCGAAAGGAATTAAATATTTAAGCAAATTTATTCAATATTAAAAAACACAAATACTGGGACATACTGTAATACACAATCAGAAAAAGCAGAAAACAAAAGCACCAGACAACTTTAGCAAGAGGAAAATTAATATTAAAAATGTGTATTTCCAAGTGATCTTTTTCACAAAGTGCCAATATATTAGAGTACCTTTAAACACTCACAAATGGGGTTCTCATCCCATTACTGCCAGTCTTTCCAGGAAAATATCTTTATATCAGTTCATCTTCAAAAATGCAACCATTTTCCTCTTGGAGAATATGGGCGTTACTTTAGCAAAACCATTTCACTTAAAATTTTTAGACTTTTAGTACACATTCTGGCAGAATGCTGCAGGAAATATTTAAATTTTCACTCAAAATACTTAAAATATGATGATACCCCATGTTTAACTACCTTGATAGGTTGTTGTGCCATTTCTTCAGTATCACCCGAGTACTGTGCAACACAGATTACAGAAATGAAAATGTTAGAATGCAAAAAGCTTGGGTGCATTTCTTGCATACTCTACAGTGCCTTTTTTACACAATTAAATTACTCTTGACCAGATTATGAAATAAATTATTGGCATTAAGCTATATCACTTTCGATCACTGCAGCAACACAAGAAGAGAGAAAAAAGGCTGAATGCACAAAAAGCCAAAATGGGAGTGCATAAAATGGACAACGGTACACACTTGAATTATTGCAAGTTGAAAACATGGAGATACATATTCAGACAAGTTTACCACTAATAAAATACAATTTCAAATTGCTATCTTTTTCAAACAAGTTGATCACAGTATGAACCAAGGAAGAAGAACTAACCTGCTGTATGTAAGACATGTCAAACTGTGGTAGTGTGGTTGTGAAGGAAGCCAGAGCTGGATCACCAGAACTCCTTAGTGTCATCTCTCCCAGCCCACCACGACTGTCCACCTTCATAAAGGAAATTCAGTAGTTAATATATACAGTATAGAGTATAGGTTAAGATCACGTACCTCTTCCCTTTGTAATATAATCATTTCCATGCAAGTTGGGAAGCAATCAATCGTGTTTAACCCCTAAATCCACTCTTATACACTTGCAACTTTAAAATAGAGAGAAAATACTTTGTATTGCTATATATTAAGTTGATTAATCAAGTAAGGCTAAGATCACCACTAGCTTTCACATAAAAAAAAAAAAAAAAAAAAAAAAAAAAAAAAACTCAGGACAATCATCTTTTATTGGGTCCATTTCTTCACTCTATACTCCCAAAAATAATTTTACTTCTCCAATATATGTTCTACCATAATGCAGCTGCTCTTGCAGCATTTCAAAAATGCGCTCATTCTCAGGAATGCAGCTATGTATGTGAACATAGATTCAGGTGCTCTATTGTATGGATGACCCCAAATACTTGGAGTCTTATGGTCATCCTATGCTGGATTTTCTCAAAGACATCTACGTCCATTCTAAAAAACAACTAGAATTGGATGTTGTAGTCTAAGGAGTACTTCATATGGGCCAAATATAATGATATAATTAAAGGGCAAAATTTTTGCATTTATTGTTGACAATTCTGGCTATAAATTTAAATATTTTACTGTAATAACTTTGTTAAGTGAATTAAAATCCTGCTACCTAGGACTCTAGTCACTGCTAATCATGATCCTCAAAGCATCTTAATTAAGGAACAATTTGCCCAAATCTGTCATTCATCTGGTAGATGAAGTCAATCTTTCACTTCCCAGGTTTACAACTTTGCACTTACTGTATAAGCACTGAATTGCATGCCACTTTTCTCACAATTCTGCAATGTGATATCACCTTTCTGGATTTCTGCCATGTCCTTATTAGCATTTACTATTCACCCACTTTCACGGCATCAACAAACTTGCCGATATTACTCCACCCCAACATCTAGGGCATTTACATACTGTATCAAAAATCCTGCTGAATTATCACGAACAACAAAGGCCACAAAACAGACTCCTGGGACATATAACTAGTGACATTCCTCCACTCTTACTTAACCTGGCTAATATTTCCTATCTTCCAATAAGGATCTAATTCAGTTAAGAGCATTCCCTCCAAAGCCATAGGATTGTATATAGTTTCTACATATGAAACTGTTTTTAGAGTTTGCCTCTACTGCTGAACTTCTCAGTACATTTCATTTGTTCACTACTTGGTACTTTTTTTGTTTTTCATGTCTGTAGCTCATTTAATACTTATTTTTCACTGAGGTTCCCTTGTTCGTGTACCCATTACAAATATTCTCTTCTTGTCTTCCCAACCAATTTAACTGTGAATTTTGTATGTGGTAAAATACCATCCCTTAACTCTGAGTTCCAATGAAATGAGATATCTGTACTTCATTTTGCCTTTCCTCATAACTCATATTTCTTAGCTCTGGGACCACTTTAGTAGCATATCTCTGGATTATCAATGAAAGCTAGTGCAAGTAAGCCATCAATTATGGTACATAAAAAGATAGTGTTACCAACCATATCATGTGTAGCACCAAGATGATGAAGCTGCGCAGTCATGACGGAACTCTGCAAGTCAGGGATGGCCAAGCTGCGGGTGTCTGTGCTGTTGCTTCCCTCCAGCACCTCCTGGTTCCTTTTATAAAATGTGTGCTGCAGAACATTAGAATTAGTCAATGATGGTGAAACCAGCATCACTTTGTTAGGAGTACAATAGGAGCACTAAAAATATCTGGCATAATAAATAATCACTGAATATTAAGGTACCCTGTACTTAAAAAACTAGCTTCTATTGGCATCTTACAGATTTTATGGTATGTACAAGCATAGTCATGTCAGTAGCCGAGTGTCAGATTCACTACATCAAATACTAGTTTATACTGGCAGAAGGTTTTCATTCTGACATGTTTCATTGAATATAACTGCCTATTCCACAACTATTTTCTTGTTTGGGACTTCTATCCTTCTAACTAGGGCTCTTCCATCTTTGTTTAATTGGAAGATTTCTCCAAATCTCATTTATTTGAGGTTGACTAAAAGAACTAAAACTTTTGTAATGTATTATAATGTAATCCCCAAGACATCTGATCGACAACAGATGTTTTTCAATCAACCTAGAAACCTATTTATGTTAAGACATACTGAAATGATACTGTACAAGATAAAAATTAAATAAATTATTGTATATAAACAAAATTTGATTTACTAACATCCTGAAAACTGTGCATTACTTGTAGTAATGTGGCTTACCTGTTTAACACACATCTTCCATACATATTTGGCTGCATCTGGCTCATCAAAGGTGAAGTGGACAGTTTCATCTGTTCGTTGACATTCAATACCAAAGTTGCGTTTATTGTTGACTAAATTTGTTATGTCATTCCATCTGCAATAAATAGTGATATGAAACCAGCAATGTAAATACCGTAACAATTTGAAGTATTACCAACTTGGGCATTAAGTTATTAAAACAGAGGTCTTTGTGGCTCACCTAGGTGAAAATTATCCCAAAAGAAATTCTTTCAAAATTAATAACATGCTTCTAAGAAAAAATGCATATGATACTGTAGAACCCTATTTTTTATGATTACCTACAAATTTCCGATTATCCACTTCCAGTAACCGGAAATAGATAAAGTGGGGAAAATAGATGATGGAGAGAGTAGTCCCAGATGGAGGACATAGTGAAAGCTATTAACACAAATGAGTCAGGAAATTAAGAAAATACTGTACTCGTATTCAAGGAGGGAGCAAATAAAGAGGTTCGCAGTTCGAGTCTCCTGGAGCTCAAGTAAATGAAATGTTTATTTCTATGAAAGGTGGATGACAATTTTTATGAAAGTTAATAATTTTTTTTTGTTTTCAAAGACTGGTACATCAACCAAATTACATGAAACCAGAGATACTATATTTAAAAATAAATAGCACATCTACATCTACGTGTAGTAACAAAATGTAAGTGGCCTTACCTATAAAAAATGTGGGTGTGGCCAGCTGCAGGTCTAACATCAATGCCCATGAGAGATGTGCCAAGATAAACCTCGCTGCCTCGCTCATCCTACATACAATAACACCACATTTATCAAAATAACGATTAATGACATTTAAATGGTGAATGAAGGATTAAAGACATTTATTTGTTATAGCTATTTGCTAATCTGGCCATTCTACCGAATATCAATTCAATATCAAGATTAAAGAAAACATAACTGTAAACACGGTATGAATATCACAACACCAAGATCTAGAGAGGAACGTACTCTGGCCATGAATGTTTCCTGTCCATACCCATCAAGGCGTTGAGCCTCTAGAATGTAGTAAGTCTCGGCCAAGGCCTGAGCCAGGCCCTGTAGGGAGGAATACTGCCACACCACAGCTTCCAGTAGAGCTGCCACTTCCCCATCATTTCCCACCTGCTGCTCCACAAACACAACAAACAATTATTATCCATGCTAAGCTGAAATTGATATATTTAAGACTTATATTCATTCCAGTACCTATGAATGATAAAAGACTAAAACAGCATAAGTGTTGTTAAAAAATTACAAGTGTTCAGAAAATTTAAAAAGCAAATTCTAAAAGTGTGGGGTCGCATGATTGAGCAGTGTTATCTTGTATGGAAGAATACAAATTTTGAAATGATTATTTGGGAGGTCTATAAAAAAAAACATTAGACAGTATACAGTACTGTCATTTGTTCACAATACACTGTACATTATCCATACATTAACCATCACAAAAATTAAGAAAAGCCTTACCTTAGGAAAGAGCATAAAATCCTTGAGGTACTCTGCAGTATGGCGATCTGGCTGGTGGTCTCCAAACTCCGCTGTTTGAGATTGAAATTATGAATCAATTACCAGCTATGGGAAGCAGAGCTGGGCCAGCAGGAAGACGATACATGGGTACCAAGAAATGATATAGCTCAGGAAATTATGTAGTGGCCTTAATCTTGCATAAAAGCATCACTACGGGAGAAAATACAGCAATGATTTCATTGCCAACACAAAAATCTGCACATGTTGCTACAGTTTGTTTACTCTAAACCTGCCTTTTCTGCCAAAGTCGTTATTCCATCTGTTATTTTAGCCAATGTAAAATGTAAATCTTACTTTCTCGAGCTGTACTGTATATTGTGAAGTGAATTGCTAAGCTTAATTTCAGCCTTTCCAAGTATCCATGCTTATAAAAGTTTAAAGTTGTAACTGCTGAAAAAAAAAAAAAAAATTTTTTTTTTTTTAGAAAGTTTAAAGTGCTATTGTAGAGCAATTTAGTACATAAAAGTGAACTAAACAGCTTTTGCAAAGATTATACACCATACCAACTTCATAAGGTTCATATTCATGGATAAAAGTATCAGAAATAAACAAATATCCTGCACTCACTAAAATTTTACTACAAAAAACACACACACTGCATATCCCTCCACCCAAACATTCTCTATACATTCTCTATACCCTCAAACCAGTTTATTCAAAAATTTAAATATGAAGCCATCAGTAGGCAGAAAGTAAAAGAATAGATGAAAGTGATGGAAAAGGAGTCACTTAAGAAATCAAAACATGTGTGAATAACTAACCCTGAAGGCTGTACGAGGCGAGGAGGACAGCCTGCTCATGATTGCACCGAAGTTTGCCCTCCAACACATCTTGCTTAACTTGCAGAAAGTAGTGCGATCTGGAACAAGAAAAACAACAAAATCCTTGTATGCTTTAGGTCACTGGATGCTAATATTAATCATATTTCACACGGGCTTCTTCAATGAATAATTTGTCTTCTATTTTCAGTTTGATCAATGGTTTTGAAAAATAAAGTACTTTGCAAAAATATATACTGTACACTATTAGCAATTCAATTTCAAATATAATTTTTGTTGTTGCATATTTTCTATATAAATTCATAGTGCAAGGAAAACCAAGTAATAATTACAGTAAAAGCTTGCCCTCAATTATTTCACGTAACATAGCAATGACAACACAGTACAGTATATAGAATATGTAGATTCATGTATAATGAGGCTAATTACATATGTTAGCCAGAAGAATAGGCACAGTTAATTGTCATATCAAGTGCATCCAGTGTCATCTAGCAACCATCTCCTGGCCACAGTTCAGTGCATATTCACCACACACACAAAAGGGCTTGAGCAATCTATGAAACATCACAAAATTATACGTTTTCCAAAGCTTGTCCAAAAACTGTCTTGATATAACACCTTATTTTGCTGAACATTACTGTCTGTGGGGAAGACTGACAAGTGAACATTCCCTGTGGAACTGAAACACCCAAGCAAATGAAATTGACTTGTCCTAGAGGGTAAAATTACTGCATACAAACACAATATCCTCATTTAATGAATATTATTCATACAACTACATTGAATACAAAATACTGTAGGTAATTTAGAAACACTAAAATGTTGCAAAAAAATGTTGTATTTAACCTAATTCAAGACATTTCCTAACGTGTTCTGGTTTGTCATGTTTCAAGCTACCGTCTTAAGACCTATACAGCAAAATATTCCAAAACTTTGTTGGAACACACACACACAAAACTCACCTGGTAACATCATCTTGCAACAGGGACACATCATGGATATAATACAGGACAGCAAGAGCCAGAGCTGGAGACTGAGCATACTTGTCTAGCTGCTTCTTTAAAGGTCGATCCAATTCTACCCATCGTACTTTTGGATATGGCTTTTTGCTCATGTAACGAAGGCCAAAAAATTCAGGCTGAAATGAAATACAAAATCAAATAGTGATAAAACATTACACAAAAAAAAATATTTGAAATACATTAAAACAGAAATGAAAGGCAAGTGACAAAGTAAAAGTAAGTTAGGTATTAAATGATAAATTTAAGATATGTTGTGAATGATATAATGAATCAGTGACAAAGCAACATACAGCATCACTGATACATACAACACCACATTTGAGCAGTATTCCACAGCAGCACCCTAATGTTTCACATGACCAGGTGTACACTACGACCCCAAATTGTCATAAACATTAAATACAAATACATTTATGCCCTTCTTATGAAATGCTTCCAATCAGCCTTGTCCTTTACAATATCCGAAGAGTTGTCCACACTCACTCCAAATCCTAAAATTCATTTTAATACACACACTTTACAAATGTATCATCTTTCAATTAGCATGTCCAAACCATCTTTGGATAATAACCTCATTCTTACAGTTTATTGTCTTTTTGCATTCCATATCTCTGATATTTTCATTATTATGCTTCTCAGATTGTCCATTTCCTCTACTCTAACTGGAGTTTATTCACATTCTTACCTCAGCATTGCCTCACAACCATACATAAAAGATGGGACTACCACTCATTCAAGCAGACCTCTAGATGCACCTATTCCTCTCACATTTCTAACTATAGTTTTTCATTGCACCAGCCACCTTCCTTCCCTAACAGAAGTTACTGTCATCTTTGATTACAAAAATACAGTACCTCATTTTTGGCAATCCCAGGTATTTAAAATATATATACAGGTACAGTATTTATAACCAACATTAATTTACAACAACAGCATTTAGAGACTTTCTATACATGGGATTTTATTTGACAAGTGTGATGCTAGTTAGTAAGGACTAGTACCTGGTGAAGGGAGAGCCTCTGACAAACATTGTGAAGACAGTCCTGTCCTGTTGAGTCAGCTGAAAGCGTACATTCTAAGGTGGTCTTGTCCAATAACTCTACGCTGATGACAAGTACGTTGCGTGACAACACATTATATTGCCTCGTTTTCTTTAGCCGCAACTTGAAAGGCATTTTAACCTGGAAAGATGTACAAAAAAATTTCATATCAAACAACATTTATATATGGTATATCAAAAAGGATAATCAGTGATGTAGACATAATTAACAATGATAAAATAATAAAAATCAAAAGCCCTTTTCTGCAGCTCCCAGAAAGCTCACCGAGGTGAAAGGAGCTTGGGGTTCAGAGATAGCTCGAAAATGTAGAAAATTTCACACAAAAAAAAGTGCTTGAAGGAAATTAGGCATCCCTATCTTTCTAGAAAATGTATTTATATAATAAATGTGAGGCATAATATATAATATTTGTTATACTGACAATCTAATTTTGTATAAAATTTATGACAGGCTTAATTAATTTTTGGAATTATGGTCGAGAACAAAATGAAACGATGGACATTAGAAGGAGCATTATGTCAATAAAAAGGATGGCCCTTCCCCCATAATCTAACCAAGTTCAATGGATCGACACATTAATATAATCACATTTCACTGTACCTTCATCAAGTAACACTAGTGCAGCGTCGGTGCATGGTGGAGATTCTCCAATGCATTCAGATGCTGCTCGCCTCCTTTATGTCATGTTGCCATCATAGATGACATAAGACTTTGCTTACAACCAAGATTTAAGAATTCTGTGATGTCAAGGTCATGCCCAAAAGTCGTCTTCAAGGGTTACAGCTGAAACGGTGAACTCATAAAGTTAAATAGATAAGCTGTGCAAAATCATAGCAAAATTAGTGCCTGGCATTTGTGCTGAGTTAACCCCAACCACTAAACAAGTTAAAAGTTAGTCAATGCATAAAAAACCTCTCTTATTATACTGTAAATACAACAAGCCACATTCCTACTACTGTACATAGATATTCCTGGTTCTTGAGAACACCGACACCTGAGAAATGGTGTCTGACCATAAAGTTCAACATAGGTATTGCAGATTAGTCACCAAGATATACTTCACTTTGAGCAATGTATCACATTTCCTCTCAAAGAATGATAGACTTACCAACAAAGACTGTTGGTAATTTCCCTTATATAAGAAGGGAGGGCATAAAAAACAAATCTTCAACTCATAATATTAAAGTTATTTGGTATGGTGTATAGTATACAGTACAGTGAGAGTGAGTGTCAATATAAAATTACATTAACTTGCTTACATCTGATGTACAGTAGAAAATAAGACAATTTATCTCATAGCATACAGGTACTGTACATGTTACTGTACACAAGCTCATCATGTATTACTCTACTGATCCTCAAAATGATATTGGCTGTAAAATTTTACATATATTTGCATATCACATACTTGTGTAATATATTACAGTACACATTTTTTAACAAAAATTTTAAGTTGTCAATATACAGCAGAACTTTATGTTAGGGCGAGTCAATGAGTACTAAAACTGCATTGCCTAACTCAACAAGCAGAATACCAATGTGCACCTGTGGCTGTTAATCCATAAAAAGAAGCATGTCATCGCTACACCAACTGAATTAATGAACAATGTTACACCTACTGAATTAATGAACTATGTTCAAAATACTCAATACAAAAAAGTTGATTTAAAGGTACAATGTACAGTAATTATAACACTGTACTTGCTCGTACTATATAAAGAAATATGATAGGCCTACTTGTACTGTGTGTACAAAGAAAAATTAAATTGAAACTAAAGAATACCTGTAGTAACTATCAAACAGCATCAGTACTTCAGAGAAGCAATAAAATGACAAAATGATTGAGACTAAGCACTTCCTGAACTTCCAAATTTTCTGGTTTTCAGATACAGTATTGTACCAGAATGCTAGCCTGGGCCTAACACACTGCGTATATATTGAATGATCTGATATTGGAAAGAATGCCTCCCATTTTAGAAACTTATTTTGTACATGGCAATGGAAATTCAACACACACTAGGGAGCGGGGAGGGGGGCACAGTCACACCACAACTCTGGGGGGGGGGAGGGATACAGCCACACCACAACACTGGGGGGAGGGATACAGCCACACCACAACACTGGGGGGAGGGATACAGCCACACCACAACACTGGGGGGAGGGATACAGCCACACCACAACACTGGGGGGAGGGATACAGCCACACCACAACACTGGGGGGGGAGGGATACAGCCACACCACAACACTGGGGGGAGGGATACAGCCACACCACAACACTGGGGGGAGGGATACAGCCACACCACAACACTGGGGGGAGGGATACAGCCACACCACAACACTGGGGGGAGGGATACAGCCACACCACAACACTGGGGGGAGGGATACAGCCACACCACAACACTGGGGGGAGGGATACAGCCACACCACAACACTGGGGGGAGGGATACAGCCACACCACAACACTGGGGGGAGGGATACAGCCACACCACAACACTGGGGGGAGGGATACAGCCACACCACAACACTGGGGGGAGGGATACAGCCACACCACAACACTGGGGGGAGGGATACAGCCACACCACAACACTGGGGGGAGGGATACAGCCACACCACAACACTGGGGGGAGGGATACAGCCACACCACAACACTGGGGGGAGGGATACAGCCACACCACAACACTGGGGGGAGGGATACAGCCACACCACAACACTGGGGGGAGGATACAGCCACACCACAACACTGGGGGGAGGATACAGCCACACCACAACACTGGGGGGAGGATACAGCCACACCACAACACTGGGGGGAGGATACACACCACAACACTGGGGGGAGGATACAGCCACACCACAACACTGGGGGGAGGATACAGCACACCACAACACTGGGGGGAGGATACAGCCACACCACAACACTGGGGGGGGATACAGGGGGGGAGGATACAGCCACACCACAACACTGGGGGGAGGATACAGTCACACCACAACACTGGGGGGAGGATACAGCCACACCACAACACTGGGGGGAGGATACAGCCACACCACAACACTGGGGGGAGGATACAGCCACACCACAACACTGGGGGGAGGATACAGCCACACCACAACACTGGGGGGAGGATACAGCCACACCACAACACTGGGGGGAGGATACAGCCACACCACAACACTGGGGGGAGGGATACAGTCACACCACAACACTGGGGGGAGGATGCATAAAAAACCTCTCTTATATACTGTAAATACAACAAGCCACATTCTACTACTGTACATAGATAATTCCATCTCGGTCTTGAGAACGTGCGACACCTGAGAAATGTGTCTGACCATAAAGTCAACATAGGTATTGCAGATTAGTCACCAAGATATACTTCACTTTGAGCAATGTATCACATTTCTCAAAGAATGATAGACTTACCAACAAAGACTGTTGGTAATTTCCCTTATATAAGAGGAGGGCATAAAAACAATCTTCAACTCATAATATTAACATTATTTGGTATGGTGTATAGTATACAGTACAGTGAGAGTGAGTGTCAATATATAAAATTACATTAACTTGCTTACATCTGATGTACAGTAGAAAATAAGACAATTATCTCATAGCATACAGGTACTGTACATGTTACGGTACACAAGCTCATCCTGTATTACTCTACTGATCCTCAAAATGATATGGCTGTAAAATTTTACATATATTTGCATATCACATACTTGTGTAATATATTACAGTACACATTTTTTAACAAAAATTTTAAGTTGTCAATATACAGCAGAACTTTATGTTAGGGCGAGTCAATGAGTACTAAAACTGCATTGCCTAACTCAACAAGCAGAATACCAATGTGCACCTGTGGCTGTTAATCCATAAAAAGAAGCATGTCATCGCTACAACCAACTGAATTAATGAACAATGTTACACCTACTGAATTAATGAACTATGTTCAAAATACTCAATACAAAAAAGTTGATTTAAAGGTACAATGTACAGTAATTATAACACTGTACTTGCTCGTACTATATAAAGAAATATGATAGGCCTACTTGTACTGTGTGTACAAAGAAAAATTAAATTGAAACTAAAGAATACCTGTAGTAACTATCAAACAGCATCAGTACTTCAGAGAAGCATTAAAATGACAAAATGATTGAGACTAAGCACTTCCTGAACTTCCAAATTTTCTGGTTTTCAGATATTGTACCAGAATGCTAGCCTGGGCCTAACACACTGCGTATATATTGAATGATCTGATATTGGAAAGAATGCCTCCCATTTTAGAAACTTATTTTGTACATGGCAATGGAAATTCAACACACACTAGGGAGCGGGGAGGGGGCACAGTCACACCACAACTCTGGGGGGGGGGAGGGATACAGCCACACCACAACACTGGGGGGAGGGATACAGCCACACACAACACTGGGGGAGGGAGGGGGGGAGGGATACAGCCACACCACAACACTGGGGGGAGGATACAGCCACACCACAACACTGGGGGAGGGATAGTCACACCACAACACTGGGGGGAGGGATACAGCCACACCACAACACTGGGGGGAGGGATACAGGGGGGGAGGGATACAGCCACACCACAACACTGGGGGGAGGGATACAGTCACACCACAACACTGGGGGGAGGGATACAGTCACACCACAACACTGGGGGGAGGGATACAGTCACACCACAACACTGGGGGGAGGGATACAGTCACACCACAACACTGGGGGGAGGGATACAGCCACACCACAACACTGGGGGAGGGATACAGCCACACCACAACACTGGGGGGAGGGATACAGCCACACCACAACACTGGGGGGAGGGATACAGCCACACCACAACACTGGGGGGAGGGCCACACCACAACACTGGGGGGATACAGCCACACCACAACACTGGGGGGAGGGATACAGTCACACCACAACACTGGGGGGAGGGATACAGTCACACCACAACACTGGGGGGGAGGGACACACACAACACTGGGGGGAGGATACAGTCACACCACAACACTGGGGGGAGGGAGGGGGGGAGGGATACAGTCACACCACAACACTGGGGGGAGGGATACAGTCACACCACAACACTGGGGGGAGGGATACAGTCACACCACAACACTGGGGGGAGGGATACAGCCACACCACAACACTGGGGGGAGGGATACAGCCACACCACAACACTGGGGGGAGGGATACAGTCACACCACAACACTGGGGGGAGGGATACAGTCACACCACAACACTGGGGGGAGGGATACAGTCACACCACAACACTGGGGGGAGGGATACAGTCACACCACAACACTGGGGGGAGGGATACAGTCACACCACAACACTGGGGGGAGGGATACAGTCACACCACAACACTGGGGGGAGGGATACAGTCACACCACAACACTGGGGGGAGGGATACAGTCACACCACAACACTGGGGGGAGGGATACAGTCACACCACAACACTGGGGGGAGGGATACAGTCACACCACAACACTGGGGGGAGGGACAGTCACACCACAACACTGGGGGAGGGATACAGTCACACCACAACACTGGGGGGGAGGGTACAGTCACACCACAACACTGGGGGGGGAGGGTACAGTCACACCACAACACTGGGGGGGGAGGGTACAGTCACACCACAACACTGGGGGGGGGGGTACAGTCACACCACAACACTGGGGGGAGGGATACAGTCACACCACAACACTGGGGGGAGGGATAGTCACACCACAACACTGGGGGGAGGGGGCAGTCACACCACACACTGGGGGGAGGGATACAGCCACACCACAACACTGGGGGAGGGATACAGTCACACCACAACACTGGGGGGAGGGATACAGTCACACCACAACACTGGGGGGAGGGACAGTCACACCACAACACTGGGGGAGGGATAGTCACACCACAACACTGGGGGGGAGGGTACAGTCACACCACAACACTGGGGGGGGGGGTACAGTCACACCACAACACTGGGGGGAGGGATACAGTCACACCACAACACTGGGGGAGGGATACAGTCACAACACAACACTGGGGGGAGGGATACAGTCACACCACAACACTGGGGGAGGGATACAGTCACACCACAACACTGGGGGAGGGATACAGTCACACCACAACACTGGGGGGAGGGATACAGTCACACCACAACACTGGGGGGAGGGATACAGTCACACCACAACACTGGGGGGAGGGATACAGTCACACCACAACACTGGGGGAGGGACACAGTTACATCACCACACGAGCCACAGCAGTGTGTGTGGTGTCCCTCACTGCATCACCACAGAGGTGTGTGTGGTGCCCCTCACTGCACCACCACAGAGGTGTGTGTGTGGTGCCCCTCACTGCACCACCACAGAGGTGTGTGTGGTGCCCCTCACTGCACCACCACAGAGGTGTGTGTGGTGCCCCTCACTGCACCACCACAGAGGTGTGTGTGGTGCCCCTCACTGCACCACCAGAGGTGTGTGTGGTGCCCCTCACTGCACCACCACAGAGGTGTGTGTGGTGCCCCTCACTGCACCACCACAGAGGTGTGTGTGGTGCCCCTCACTGCACCACCACAGAGGTGTGTGTGGTGCCCCTCACTGCACCACCACAGCCACAGGAGACGCCCAAGGGGCAGGCCTCACCCGGCGGGATAACCAGCGGTACACCAGGAGGAGTTACGAGTGTGGGAGTGTAATCCTGCCGCCCCCAAGCAGGTGTAAACACAGGTGAACCAGGTGTGTAACACACCCGCCGCCTCACCTTCACTCGCCAGGTGGCGCCCTCAACTTGTCACGCTCCTTCTCTAGGCTCTCTCACCGCTCAGTCAATCGTATTCTTAGGTTCATTTAGTAACTGTGAACAATTGGGTGTAGCGAGAGACAGCGGTCAAGGGGCGACGTCCTTCCCTCACCGTGTCTGAGCCTCTACTGACATGCTCCGCCCCGCCGACGTCCCGAATCCTCAACCCACCTTGCTGTATATAGCTACATATTCATACATATATACAGTATATATATAGATATATGTATGTTCCCAATGCCGTTCTAATTATATTGCATGAGATTATCTCAAATTCCTATGTAAGTATAGCGCAGACTTACGAATTATTTTAGACAGTAGGCCTACAATTACATCAAATTAGATTTGTATATACAACGTGAAACTGTCCAGGCATACAATATTGCTTCCTGCCTGCCCCATTTATCGTTAATTATCATATTTGAAGTACAGAGAGGACAGGTGTATCATAGTACCTCTTGGTGAGTAAGCCACGAGCATGATGTCAGGTATATACATATGAATTATACATGTGGCATGGAAGCTCAACCCTAAAGTATTTCCTTCCCAATGAAAACATTGGGACATTGTAATTGCCAGAATTAGGCTGGGATATCGGTACTTATGGCACGTGACTGCAGGTAATGAATCCACCAAAGGTGAGCATTCCAAATGTAAACTATGTGAGCAAGAACTAGCACACACTCTCCAGCATATATATATGTGATCTGTGATTGCCCTATTATCAATGGTTTCAGACCATGTGGTATGAGGTACTTGAGTGGTATGTGGTATGAGCTCTGTAGCTACTTTATATACTCAAAAAATATTAGAAGATATTCTTGTGCTCTACCCAGTTTCAGGCTACTAGATTAGACTCATGTTTCAAGTTATCTCCTGAGTCTATGAATTTATTTATTGTATTGTATTTATTTATTTATTTATTTATATATATACACGAAGGCACACAAGGTTTGTGAGAGTACATAACATTGGTGTTCTTATATTGCAAGACCACTAACACGCACAGCATTTCGGGCAGGTCCTTAATCTAACAGATATGGTAAGTGAATAGGTACATTGTACCAAATTTGAGTTCAACATATAATATAAATTTACCTGAATTTACCCGAGGGCCACCAACACACTCTAGTGGCCTGGACGAGGACAGGAAGCCGGCGGCTTGTCAACTGTCACCCCATTTGCCCTTATAAAGTTTTCCAGCTGTATTTTAAAACTTAACAGTTTTGGCATTTACGGCTTTGGCGGGTAGGCAGTTCCATGGGTTTATAACCCTAAGGGTAAAAAAAGTACCGCCTGTTTTCAATAGACTATGATATGACTATGACTAACATGTTTGTATATGACTTAACTGGCTAGTTAAGTATAACATGTCAGGACTATGTGAATAGTCATGACTAACTGGTACTTATGTACAGTATATGACAACTATATGTCATATGACTGTATGGTATGACTAACCATCCTGTGAGACGGGGATATTTGATGACCTTATACAAACCTCACGTCCCTGGAAGGCAGAAGAGTTACGGGAGACATGAACATCACCTACAAAGTCCTCAGAGGAATTGACAGGGTGGATAAAGACAAACTATTTAGTATAAGTGAAACACGAACAAGGGACACATGAGCCGAAGCTCAAGCCCCTCAAGCACAACTAGGTGAGTATATACCTACAGAAAAAGCTTACATGCCTGGGGACCAGACTTCAACACATCCTACTCAAACTTGGGTCTTGGGAAGGCCTGAGTTGATCTTTACAGAGCGGACACCCTCCTAAAACACTTGAATTTTTCATCGGTTCGAACATATCCCTGCCAAGGGATGTGTTCGCACATATCACAAAACCCACATCCTAATACAAAAGACGCCACATCTTTCATACAGCAGAGCAAAGTGGGACGCTTTTAAACAACACATCAACGAAACAGACCTGTCATTCACATATAACGATGTGACACCTGCTGACATTGACAACCAGCTCCAAAAATTTACAAAACACAATCACAAAAGTTGCAACTGCGTCAATATCAGTCATCACTCATACTCGTCGATACACATTCACACCCTCCGTGAGACCCAAGCATACCCTCGCCAGCTGTTACCACAACAGATTCACACAAAACCTGCACAGACACGGCCATGTATGCAACCTGTCCTAATAGAACGCTGCATTTTGACGTACACTCTACCTAAGGGCAAAAATCATCGTACTAGAAAATGGTAGCGGTTCGCGAAATTGACATACTGTCCCGTTTTTTGGTCCCCTGGTAGGTTAGGATAGGGCACTTGAGTACGTCAGTTTCTTGACGCTGGGAAATCTTAGGAGGACGGGCTGTTGTGGGACCTCACCACACTACATAACCACATCCTTACCTGCCTGCTGGACGAGGATCACATAAAACACTACACATCTCATACACATAGCTGAACATCACAGAAAACCCACACTCAGGAATTCTGGAGTTTCAGTAAAAGAATAAAAGGAAACAACTAGACAACGTTCAAACACATCACTCAGAACATGAACGTCACCGCCCCTGCCGAGGTCATGCATATCTTCCAACAACACTGACACACGATCTTCCATCCACGCCCACCTCAACCCTCAGCACTCCAAAATATACACATTATACATACCTGGATACGCTAAACCGAAGAATAGGCTTCCCCAGACCGTGTCATAGTTAGTTTAGTTCATTTATTATGCACCCCATACCCATCTTGTGGGCGGTAGTGGAAAGGGTTACAGAGGCACATAATGGGCTCAGGGACTGAACCCCATAATTCATTTAGCTAAGCAAGTTACAATCTTGATGAGCTAGTTAGAAAATTCAATATAAGTCGTCACATCAACAATGGGTTCGAAATCGACCTCAAGTACACGTGTCATAGACATGGAAAACTGGACTCAGAGACAAAGGTCACGACACCACTAACACTGAGAGGTCTAGTTGATGCTGCTGGGCATCCCTCCCCCAGGGAGAGCCTCAGGTGCCTAGGGCATCCTAGGGCACTCGTTGTTTTGTTCTTGTTTTAGATTCAACTATTCGGAACAAAAAGTTCCAAGTATCACGGGCAAAGGTGAGCCCGTAGTTTACTTACCTGGCACAGGAGCGGGATTGTAACTGTGCTCGCCAGTGACTCATCAGGCCACTCCCAATGACACTAATCACTGCCCCCACAGCTCTCTGTGATGCCTCACTTGCTTCTGGATACTTTCCTCCTCTTTTCAAGTCAGCTACTGCCATCCTAACCTCTGTTTGTCCTCCAAATATACCATTTGGAGGACAATGACCTACTGACAGACAAACACTCTGGGTTCAGACCCCACCAGTCAACACAAGACGCATTAAACTTGCTGACAAACTACATATACATCGCTTACAAACAACACTAATAAAACTAGGTTCAACAAGGTATAATGAAACTAGTTGAAGAGAATAGACCAGAATACAGGGTACCGAATGGGAGACGAAGTCCTCCACGAAACGGATAGAGAAAGATCTAGGAGTTGATATCACACCGAACTTGTCTCCTGAAGCCCACATCAAAAGCTTCAAAAGCAGACAAAACAAATACTAAATCTGCGTCCACCCAAGCACAGAGGAACTGTTCGCAAGATGAAACTGTATGACGGCTCGCAGCTTGACTACGTAAACAGATTAAACTACCTTGGCCTTGAGGTCCCACTGTATGGTCGTGTTGTAATCAGACTGTCGTCAGTAAAGAGAGGCTCAGAACTCTTAAGGCTGTTGCAGGTTATCTCTCAGGTTATGGTGCTAATGTCACAATTGTCAAAATGATGAACCTTGCGTCTTTAGTGGGTTATGCGAAAGAAAGTTGGTAAGTTGTTGTTTAAGATCCGCTACTTGGAATAAAAAGTTCCAAGTAGCACGGGCTATGGTGAGCCCGTAGTGGACTATCAGTATATAAGTTGGGAGGGCTTGAAAAATTAGAGAACGAAGCCTTGAGGATTATTCTTGGGTGCCTCGTACCACAAAGATACTTAATATGAGAAAGGAACCTAATATTCCTTCCGTTTATGCTGTAAAATTAATATGTTCTGTTAATAGTTTTGCTATTTCAATCATCGTGTAATAATTGTCATTTTGTATTGATCTGCCTTAATTTGTTTTTTATCTCATTTAGTTTAGTCTTTTTGTTTCTTGTTATTCCCAAAACGCTCCAAGTACTATTGTCCTTACCTGCCCTACCCACGATTTATACAATCTTATATCTATGTATGCATGTACTTTTGCTTAAATCAAACATTATTATTATTATTATTATTATTATTATTATTATTATTATTATTATTATTATTATTATTATTATTATTATTATTATCATCCCAAGCTTCGTCTTGAGGCAAAACTCAACGCCTTAAGACATAAATACTCTGTACATAGCAGCATAGATTCAGTTATTATGCACCCCATACCCATCTTGTGGGCGGTAGTGGAAAGGGTTACAGAGGCACGTAATGGATAGGTGAGATATAGGCAAATGAGTGAATAATACAGAGTAACTAGGGCAGGGCGAGGAACATAATATCTAACTTTGGAGAGAATGCCTACTGTTTTAGAAACTTTTTTTAGTTATATATTGTATATGACAATGGAAATTTCGTTTGTTGTCAATGTGAACACCAATTTAAGGAACTTCCCCTCTACTCTGCTCGTAATTTGGGTATTGTTAGTTGTTATATTAATTTGACTGTTGGACTTAATTGTTACTAAACAATATGTAAAACGTCTTACCAGTATGACATTGTAGTTGCAAGAATTAGACTGGGATATCTATATCTATGACAGGTGGCTGCAGGTAATGAATCCCCCCAATGATGAACATTACAATTGTAAACTAGCGATAGGATATATTCTCCAACACTATATCTGTGATTGCCCTGTTATCAATGATGTCAGACGAAATGATATGTGATACTTTGAGCTCTGTAACTACTTTATACACTCACGAATACTGGAAGATATTATTGTGCTTTACCCAGATTTTGCTGGTGAAGGCTGATAGATCAGCCTCGCATTTCATGTTCTCTCCTGACTCCATGTATGACTAACCATCCTGTGAGATGGGGATATTAGATGAACTTATAGCCAGTTTTTATCTACATTTTTAACCTTCATACAGAATAGGGTAGCACTAGCACATTGCTATGTATACCTAAGCTTGTCAATAAAAAAAAAGGTAAAGTAAACTTATTATGGCAGTTGGTACTCCCGATACTACAAATGTACCGAGATCATTAATACAAGGTAATGCGTGGCGATTGTTGAGAAAAATACTGTAAATAAATTTTGAAACAACAACTGAACCATGGACACAACCAGAGAAAAAAAATCAGACGAAATCAAAACAAAGATGGCGGATGGGACAGGCTCGTCAGGGGAGACAAGGTACAAATTTCAAAGGTTTTACTCAAACGAATACAGGAAGGTAATTTTCTATGCAAGTCAGTGATTATTGAATATTTGCTAAATGCTTATAATGAAAAATTTCAAAATTTAGAGCAAGAAAACGAAGGTCTCGACTTGACCAAATGTAAACTGTGTCAACAAAATTATTCGCACACCGGGTTTTACACAACTTCCCCATGCACTCAAGCTATGTCAATAGGCCGTTCTACCTCTTCACCCTTCCTTCATTACACACAGAAATCACAATAACGTGATGCATCAATGAACAAATGCACAAGGGCCGTGACGAGGATTCGAACCTACGTCTGTGAGCATCCCAGATGCTGCCTTAAAATCCTTGCCATGGCCCTTGTGGATTTGTTCATTGATGCATCACATTATTGTGATTTCTGTGGGTAACATCAATTGTGACACTAGCTCTCCACATATGCCAGTTGCTTAATTTAGAAACTGTACTTGTGGTCGATCTCAAACGCATTGTTGATGTGTCGACTTGTACTGAATTTTGTAACTAGTTCACCAAGATTGTAACTTGTTTAGCTAAATGAATTGTGGGGTTCAGTCCCTGAGCCCATTATGTGCCTCTGTAACCCTTTCCACTACTGCCCACAAGATAGGTATGGGGTGCATTATAAATGAATTAAACTGTACTTGAGAGCTAGGTTAATCTTGCTTGAAACGCTATGTGTATTAGTGGCTTTAGGTATTGTATGTACTCGCTCTATATATAAATCCAACATTGTAAATCAACTATGTATGCACTTTTCCTGAATAACTATTTACAGTATTACTTTTAAAACTATTTTGCAGCAGGATAAGGAAGTTACCAGCTTGACTGACATGGTGAGGAGACAGTAACCACACATCTAGGAATTGGAGAATGAAAGTGGGATGAATTTGATGAGATTTATAGTTAAATAGATATACTGTACTGTAGTGATATATTCCATAAATTCATAAGAAACAATTTGTAAGTAAAGTATAAAATTCATAGGTTGAAAGTGGGGAACATATTCACGGAGAATGAAAACGAAATGTGTGAAACACTAAATGAACAGTTCCAAAGTGTGTTTTTGTACAGAATGAAATTTTCAGAAAACCAGACACAATACGAATTTCAGAGAATGACATGAGAGTACATAAAGTGGAAAAGTATGCTCAAGAAGCTAAGTTGGGACAAATCAGTTGGTCCAGATGGAGTTTTACCTTGGAGTCTGAGAGAATTGACATCTGAGCTCAGCATTTTGCATCAGTTGATTTACACTCATCCTTGTATACAGGAGTCTTGGCAGATACAATATATGGAAAAAGGCTAACAGTGTTCCAATCTGTATAAATGGTAATGGGCAAGTCCCTCTTAATTATAGACCTGTATTGTTGATGAGCGTAGTACAGTAGTCAAAACATTAAAAAAAATTACAACCAAATGGGAAGAACACCTAGAGAGAAATGATATAGTAACACAGACAGACAGTATGGTTTTTAATCAGGAAGATCCTGTGTCACAAATCTACTTAGTTTCTATGACAGCCACAGAGATTTTACAGGAAAGAACTGGTTGGGATGACAGCATTTAAGTGGATCTAAAAAACACTTTCGACAGTCTCACATTATAATTACATGTAATAGAAATTATGTATTTGACCTCTTCAAGCAGAGATGATGTTTAGGTAAAAGTCAAAGGGCCTTCGATAGTATGTGTTGCAAAGCATGTACTCCAGCTATTAAAGGAGATAAAATTCCATGTGTTATGTAGTAAAGTTTAATTGTATTGTATTTTCATATTGATAAATGGCAGTAGGTTAAGTTGACAAAGTGACCGATATGCCAAACTTGTTTTATGTATTAAGTGCATGGATTGATTACAAAAGTTCAGAATAATACAAAGATATATAATTTTCCACACAGGTACAGTTTCCTATAGGTAGGTACAATTGAATGATTATCACTAATCAGTAGCCCTTCATACAGCGACACTTCAATTCCTGGTAATTTATTATAGTACAGTACAGTATTAACAAATCATATGAATGTCTCCAATATCTTGAGAAACATTATGGACCTATTGGTACAAAAGAAATGTGTCATTGAAGACACTATTTAACCACAACCCTTAAGTATTGCAGCCCTACTTACCAAATAAATTGTGACATACAGTACTTAATGTTAATCAAACCACACGCTAGGAACTAAAGAGACGACAACGTTTCGACGACGAGACAATGACGTTTCAACGACGAAACGATGACGTTTCGACATTGTCTCTTAACAGTTGACTTGATAATGGTCCAGGACGGACCGAAACGTCGTCGTCTCTTCGGTTTCTAGTGTGTGGTTTGGTCAACATTTTTTCAGCCATGTTATGGCGACTCATCATCTGCATACAGTACTTAGTGCCACAAAACTCTGGCTCGCCTCACCATCTTTTCCATTTCTTCTCTCGACTTTTTTGTTCCTGTACATGGTTGTCAGCAATCTGCAGTCATTGATTGCCACCAAATTTATGACAATTTCTTTAGAGCTTCTGTCTCAGACGGGGGATTGAGTCAATGTCTGAATGGAAACAGACTGGATGAAATTAGTAGTTGGTTAAATATAGGGTTTCATTATATTTTAGATGCTGATGATTAATGGTTGGCAGTGGTTCTGTGTGCAATCCATCCTCAAAATAATGGGCCCAAATCAATTTTATGCAGCAGAGTTTCCCATATTAGTGAAGGAAATGAACTTGACATGACTCCCAAATGATGTCATTCCTGTTTCTTGAAAACAGCTTTTTCCACTTAAAAAGTTTAAAAAGCACTTCTCAAAATGATTGACACTAGAAATCAAACTATGTAGCTAAAGGGTTAACTAAAATGGAACTTACTAGCTGACTAGAAATCTAACATAAAAATAAATTCAAATATAAATTTTATAAAAAAAAAAATGAAGAAAGAATTGTATATATATAAGAAAAAAGAAAAAGAGCTTGATCTTCAGTTCTTTTTAATTTTACACTTTCTGACTACACGTACTTTCAATATCTGAGCACGATTTGCCAGTTCTAATATTCAGAAATGGATAATAAGCATTAACAAATATTCTGAATTACATCCACATTTTCATGTGTAAGCTATTTTAATAAACAACTAAGATAAAATTCCTGGCAATGAGTAAAAATATTACAATCAAAGAGTTTTTCCAGTTTGGCTACTGACAGCCCTGTTGTACGACAAGCTTCAAAATATTTTATTATACTATAGTAAAATTGCACTAAGAATGCCAATTGTTGAACATCGTAAATATATAATTTACTGATTCTGATGATGCTTCTATCGGCAGATGTTGCTGTTTAGTTAAAATCTAAATAGGAAACATTTAAAATATTTGTTAAATTATTTATATTGATACATGAGAAAATTTTAAATGTTTAAGCCTGCAATGCAGCTTTTTCAATAGTGAAAAATCATTAGCAAATTAAGTACTGTACAGTACTGTACAGATAAAACAAAATGATTCAAAAATTGATAAAAAAAAAGTACAAAACTTGTCATTTGCATATATAGTATACAGTGTACATGTACAGTACAGTACTGCATTAAAAAAAAAAATAAACAAATGTATATTTACCTAATACAAAAGGTAATTTTCTTTTTTTGTGAAAAAAACTGTGTACAGTTACAGTACTATGTGGCCAAGTTAAAGCCACATGGTACAGTATTAGGAGAGATAAGCTTGTTAAGGCCAAACAAAAAGCTAAATTCCCTTAGTCCATTTATCACAATACTGTACTTTACAAATATGATGATAGTGTTGGTCATGCAGTGGCATTAATCTATCAGTTTTATCATCATATTTTAACATTGCTGTATCTTGCTTACACATGAGTGTTGTTTTGAAGTTTGTACATCTTACTGTGTGGACGTCATGAAGGGCAACTGAGAGTACAGCAGACCTTAAAATTAACTCTTGCCCTATGCAGTACTTATCTGTTCTCGCATCTCATGACTCTCATTCCAGTTTCTGAATTTCCTGACCAGATCTACTGCTATACAAAATTTAATGTATAGCAAGAAAAGCTTGAAAACTGATCGTCCTGTGTGCTGGGATAATAAAAACAAGTGCAAGAAAAACAGTTTGATTATAACCCCATTTACTAACAGAATTAACACGGTTTGTCTTAATTGGCCAAATATACTGGTATATGATAAATTGTTAGTACATTTGTTTATGCTATGGGCTGCATGATACAAAGAATATCAGTCTACAGTACAATACAGCATACTGTATTTTTTATATGGCAAATTGGCATTGCTTGATTATGTATTGGAGTTTACGTAGCTTCGTAAAACTAAAGTTTATGTAGTTTTGTCAAATCCTAGGCCACGCAAGTAGGACCTTCTCCAGAGGAACAGTCACCACACTTCCCTGCAGCCTGAAACATAATAGTGCAAGGTTTATCCAATAATGGAACTCATAAATGTATGATTTATATTTTCAAAAGAGTACAGTATAGTAAAACCCTTAAATTGTAAATAATTCATGGATGGTCAGTTGGCCATGAAAAATTAATGAGATGGAAAAAGGGGAAGAATGCTACTATGATGTGACTTCAGTGTCTAACATGACTGAGATCCTGGATTTCATGTACAGTATTACAAAAGTGTCAGTTGTATTAATCATATGGTACTTATTCTAATTATATGAGTAGTGATATTCTTTCAATGCCATTGGTCTTTTCCTATCTTGTTATACTTTTTTTATTTTATTTATGGTTCTACTGAATTCCACCATTATGGCAGCGCCTCTCTCTCTTACTCCCTCTGTTCCACTCAACCAGGTACACTTGATATGAACAATGTTGACCAAACCACACACTAGAAAGTGAAGGGACGACGACGTTTCGATCCGTCCTGGACCATTCACAATTGACTTGAGAATGGTCCAGGACAGACCGAAACGTCGTCGTCCTTCACTTTCTAGTGTGTGGTTTGGTCAACATATTTCAGCCACGTTATCGTGACTCCTCGTCTGCATAAGAACAATGTTGGCCCAACAGTGTGCCTAATGAGATTTCGGCCCAATTTGCCTATATCTCAATTGTATGGTGACTATATTTCAAGAAGCACATCAACAAACTGGAAAAGGTGTACAGACATGCAACAAAATGACTGTTGAAACTGAAAGACATGAGCTACAAGGAGAGGCTAGAGGTGTTAAATATCTCAAAGCAAGAAGATAGAAGAAAAGAGGAGATATGTCCACTAAATACAAAATAGTAATGGGAATTGACAAAATTGATAAAGAATTCTTTATATAAAGAATTCTGGTAGATAGTTGGAACAAGTGAAGTGAGGTGTTGGTGGAGACCAAAACCGTCAGTAATGTAGTTTCAAAGCATCATATGACAAAGAGTACCAAGAAGATTGGACACCTCAAACATAGCTCTCATCCTGTAATTAGACTTACGTAATTACTTGACTCCATGAAAATCACATAAGGGGAGTCTCTATAAATGCAAATATTTCTTAACTTAGACCTATCCATGTACCCGAGGCCTACCTCGGAGGCCTGGTCGAGGACCGGGCCGCGGGGACGTTGAGCCCCAAAATCATTGCTAGGTAACCGGACCATCCTACGTTTGTCCTGTACTCCAAACTATTTCTCCTGAAAAGCTCCAAGCATCTGACTTCCTACTTTGGAGAGACAGACAAAGCCATTCTCTTTAATAGATGAGGTAGGAAATGTTCAACGTGGAATGAAAGTTTTTGCCAAAAATTTTAGTCATCACTTTTTTAATGTGAACAACTTAAAAGCTGTACATTTAAAGGGTGACTTTAAAAATGGTAACAAATTTTTGGGAGTGTAGGTAATATATAAGTAAGAGAGTTATTAGCATTTTCCATGGTAAACTTTTATAATATGAAAAATTTCTAAGGGTACATATGAAAGTTAATGATTTAATAATGTGACATTTATAAAGGACACAATTACAAGTTAACAGTATTGACTCAGTAAGTGTAATTTAGAAAATAACAAATTATGTAAATAATATAAAAAGTGAACAGGGGTAAGTCCTAGGTAGATAACATGTGGGGAAATTGGAAGTGTGCAAATGAATGGGGTAACAGAAACACAGCTGACAAAGAAAGTAAGATTAAAGGGCACCCATACAGTCTCTGAACCTAATTAACATCTTTGCAAGAGGGTGTGCAATGGGGGTTCTGAGGGAGCTTCCCCTTCATGCAGGAGAGCCTAACAAGGGTGGCAAGGAAATGCAACAGGGAAAGAGGAGGGAGACAATCACGGAAGACCTGCAGAAGTCCACGTTCAAAAGAGTGACCCGGCTGGTTGCTAAAGCTTACTAGCTGAGCGTGAACTAGGTGAGCTGACTAGGCTCCATCCCTTTACCCATGCAAATCAGAAAGTGTTGCAATTTCATCACACTGTATATATAGAGGACCTTAGCTGTAACACAGAATTTTGTTTAGTACAGTATTTGAAGGCAATGAAAATGTATGTGCTAAACCTATAGTACATATGTCCAGTGTCATAACCCAGTAAGAGCCAGAGCGGCCAGGGAGCCGGTCGGCCGAGCGGACAGCACGCTGGACTTGTGATCCTGTGGTCCCGGGTTCGATCCCGGGCGCCGGCGAGAAACAATGGGCAGACTTTCTTTCACCCTATGCCCCTGTTACCTAGCAGTAAAATAGGTACCTGTGTGTTAGTCAGCTGTCACAGGCTGCTTCCTGGGGGTTTGAGGCCTGGTCGAGGACCGGGCCGCGGGGACACTAAAGCCCCGAAATCATCTCAAGATAACCTCAAGAATCTCAAGAAGTAAAATCTCTACTTGTTCCCACCTGTTAGGCTCACTCAATAGGATAACTGTCACTGAAGCAGATGAAACAGGAGCAGAAGTGTGATGAATTTTGTCATTTATCTGCCATGAAGACTTCTGATTTGTCAGGACTCTAGCTACAGCCACGCCTCCTCCTGGAGCTAGCACCTTCACCTGCTGGCCAGGGGAGAGCTGGTCCCCACGGTATGGCAGGTATGGACGTCCACTGCTAGTTCCTGTGGCACATAATTACTGTTAGCAGAGTGAGTATCCTCTCGTCACTAGGATACAGAGAAGAAGGGGAAGTGAAGGGAGGGGGTTAGAGAGAGGAGGGAAGGATGAGAGAAAGGAGAATAAGGGAGATGGAATGAAAGAGGGGGGTGGGGGGGGAGAGCAAGGCGGTGAGGGCATTAGGAGATGGGGAAAGAGGGGATATGTTTAGAAAGAGAGGTAGAATGGCGATGGGGTAAAGATAGACTATTCCTAGGCAGTACTTGGTATGCTTTTTAGTATGAAATGTAGCAAAACATTTCTTTCTTACTGTCATAAAAAGTAAACCCTCCTAAATACACATTAAAAGTGTAACCTTGATTTTGGTACTGTAACCATCTCGGCTAAAGTAATTGATCTTATTTGGGTTCAAAGTCTTTCACTGGGTCAATTCTGATAATGACCAAATAAAGCATTCCCCTAGTCATCGTGGATGAAATAGAAAGATAAACTAACTAAAAAAGCTGTAGACCCTGAGCAAATATTTGTAAAACATATCTTGGCAGAAAATAAAATCTATTATATACTAGTGAAAATAAACATTACATAACACATGGTCAGTCACAACATGCATAATAAAATAAAGCAATTCATATTATTCCTGTAAACTTAATGTAACTAACCTACACTAGCAGAATCAGCTTCACTTCTCCAAGCACTGAACCCTCCCTGGTGTGAACGTGTCCTTCGTCTTCGCTGTTTGTGGTGCTTTCTATTTGGCATATCCCAATCTGTAGACACACCGATTTTTGTTGACTGGGGGGTTAATGGGGTTAACCTGATAACCTGTGAAGTCTTGAGACAAAATTCAGTAATGGATGGCACTTATTTACACCATTTATCAACTCCATCAGTTTATTTACACCATTCTCTGGTTGCTGGCTTAACGTGCACACGATGGTGTTGTGCCTGTTCCCCTGACACATCTGCTCTATGCAACACTTTTAACATGCTCTCTTCTTACCACTCTGTCAGCTTACTTTCCCCCATTATTAGATTTTTCCAGTAGCGTATTGTATTGTCAGATTTCCATCAGCTCGTGCTAAGTTTTAATACGTATCAATTATTAGCCTGTTCCTTGTCATTCATTACAATATATTCATTCTTACAGGACCTCTAAATCTTCCGCCGCCAAGCTAATCAAGTATCAAGGATGACCCCAGCCTTTGGTTCGGCCAAAACAAACTTAACAATAACATCCTGCATGCTTCTGTTCTCAGACTATTAATTTCAGGGTCTGTTATCTTTCTCAGTGATATCACTACACATCTTTCCTTAAAATCTAATTTGTCCCCTTTTACTCCATTAATGTGGATGTTGTAGAAATCCTTAGCACAGTGTCCTCTAAATGCTGTAAAATAAGATTACAGTCCGGCCCTGGATGCTAAACCTCCCATATAAAGCCAGCCCCTCTTTGCCAAACACATTCACAGTTCTCTTAATTTTCTGTGATGTCCTTTCGTACTAGAAAATGACTCCTGGTGTTTTATTTTATTTTATTTACCAGACATCAGAAAGTTAAGAAACGACAACATTTTAGTCCGTTCACAACTTGATAATGGTCAAGGACGGACCAAACGTCGTCGTTTTTTCACTTTTTGATGTGTGGTTTGGTCATCACTTGCATACAATTCTCAGTACCCCCTCCTTCAAAGATCTCATGTTACTTCTTCAGAATAATTATTATGCCAGGTCTTTTCTATTACTCCGCAATGATCCCATATGCAGTACACCACACATTATAATTTGCAGCACTATACAGTACCTTTATTTACTTAGCCCATTTTACCATTCATCATTATTTCACTTATGGCAACTGATTTATATAACTGAGGTCAAACTGAACTGGCACTTGCTTGATATGACCAAGCAGCTACCATTGCTAGAGATGCCATTCATATTTACCCTTCCTCCCAAAAGATAATTCCTTTCTCAGATTTCTACTGATATTCATAGTGCAAACTGCAACCACTGCAATGATAGATGTTGGCTACTACACACAACAAATTGTGCCATTAAGCATAACATATCCCTGTGGTATTCCTGCTATCAATGAAATAAGGAGTGGTAATTGACTCCGGCTAGGTTAAATATCAGAAACACAATATACTCGTGGAAACTTAATGGAACACCGACCTGCACCTTACTGTCAGACTTGCATTGTTCCACTTAGTCACTTACCTGCTACAGTTATCTTGAGGTTATCTTTAGATGATTTCGGGGCTTAGTGTCCCCGCGGCCCGATTCTCGACTAGCCCTCCTTTTTGTTACACCCCCCCCAGGAAGCAGCCTGTAGCAGCTGTCTAACTCCCAGGTACATATTTACTGCTAGGTAACAGGGGCATTAGGGTGAAAGAAACGTTTTGCCCATTTGTCTCCGCCTCCACCGGGAATCGAACCCGGAACCTCAGGACTACAAATCCGAAGCGCTGTCCTCTCAGCTGTCATGTGCTAATTTTCAAGATAATAAATTTTGTTTTCTCATTATTCCTTTGAGTCATTGGTCCATCTATAAAATACTTGGTGAATCTGCCTCCTTTGACATTGAGGATCTTATGTCTTTCAGGATACCAGTAAGAGAGGTGGACACATTTCTTACTGGCATCCTGAATGATGTCCAGAAACTCATACAGTATATATTCTGTAACACAGACAGTGCTATATTGCCATCCTATACACATGTTCCTTGATAAAATCCTTAGTGAATCTGACTCCTTTGACATCGAACATCTTATGTCTCTCTACTCATATTGGCATTCTGTATGTTATATAGGAACTCCTGAATATTCTCCAGAAATAGCCAGTGCAATGTAACTATTGTTTACAATACTGTACTGGTTTTGCATTTTACTTGGATAATTACTTATTTACTTAAACTGTACCAGGCATATCTCATAATACAAGTACCATACTATTATGAATACAGTACAATACCTTAAATTATTTACATGTCTTTGTTCTGTTGGCCATAACCTGGAAAATACTGTCTCTATCCCATTTGTTTACAGTATTTCCCTCGGTACTCTCATATATGTTATGATCATACCTCTCCTGGTCCTTTCCCCTTCTAATTTTGTTATATTAAGTTCATTTAGTATGTGCTCTAACTATCTATCCCTAGCAGTCTCATTTCATATCTTTGTACATTCTAAATTTTCTTCTTGTGCTTTATCAGATGTGGATTTCATTGTTGATGCTTAATATTCTAGGACGGATCTCAGATATGTTTTGCATACAATCATGAAACATTTCTTATACAAGTTCCTGAATGCCATCCTGACGTTTACCAACTTTTCATGTGCTACTAATCTAATTTTGTTTACATGTGCCACTGATGTAAATGCACATTAATGACACTATGTAAAAGACACATCGAACACTTTATGTAGGGCATACGTAAATCTGTGTACAGTATCTATGTATTTACGTATGTAGGTTAGCTTAGCATTTTAAAAGCACCGAATCACCTTCTGTGGTAGATTGTTCAATAAACCCTTGAACTATATGTTTAACACTTCTCTAACCCTGTCCATGGAGGACAGAAGAAAATGTATATAAGCTGATTAGCATTGTTAATGTGTGGCCACATCTGTGGTAGAAAATAATAATAATAAAAAAAAAAAAACTGATGTAAAGGCTGTTGATATATGTACTTGTACCTATCCAGGTCCTTTTAACTTTTTTACTCTTTTCAACTTTCTTGTGTTTGCTACTGCTCTTTATGTATAGATGGAATGGTTTGAATGTTGTGCATGCCCGTGTTTATATGAAGAACTCGTCAGTGAGAGGTTGAGAGGAGCCAGACATTAGAGGAGCTCTCGGGTTGCCTCTGCCAAATTGTAGTGATAGCTAGGTCGTTGCAAGTTCTTTAAATCGCTTCTAGCAAATATATCACATTATTATTATTATAAACAATTATAAGCGAGCATTATTATTATTATTATATACTGTATCAGGTTAGGAAAGCCTGATATATTTGCCAGAATATATCAGGCCAGTTATATTTCTCAAGTTGTGGGTCAAAATAAACAATGATCCCTCAGATTGAGGGGACCAAATAAATCAAGATCTTATAGAAAGAGTGAACAAAACAGAAGACAACCTCATAAATGAGGGTGAAAGCAAGATCTCATAAGTAGAGAAGTTTAAATAAAGCATGATCTACTTCAAAGTTTAAGAAATTATTTTCTTGACTTGTGCTACACAAGCCACATGAAGAGAAGTGTTTCTGTCTTTTATATCATTACAGTATTGTCTATTAATATTTCGAGCCATATATATATATATATATATATATATATATATATATATATATATATATATATATATATATATATATATACTCATGAGAAACTCTCCAGACACGAAACAGAACGCTTTAAAAGAGACTAACGTCGTCTATGCCTTCAAATGCCCACTTGGGGACTGTAAGCTCCAAAAAACCCAGTATATAGGCAAGACAACAACATCTCTTTCTAGGCGTTTAACGATGCATAAACAACAGGGCTCCATTAAGGAACATATAATCTCTTCCCATAACCAAACCATCGCCAGAGAAATCCTAGTAAACAACACAGAAATCATCGATAGATACAGCGATAGCAGGCGGCTCGACGTTTGCGAGGCACTACACATCAAGAAGTCAACACCAGCAATCAACAGCCAATTATTGCACAACTATATTCTACCCACCTCAAGACTCCGCTCCAATATAGAAGCATCAAGAAATATGGACCAATAGGCTTTCTACAAACACTTCTATTCAATATCCATTGTTTCGTGTTCTGTCTTGTGTTGATACTTTTAATACCCTATTAATATCCTCTAATGCCACATCATCCTTCCCACCTTACTCAAATGTAATGCCACATCACCCTTCCCACCTCACTCAAATGTAGATATATATATATATATATATATATATATATATATATATATATATATATATATATGTGTGTGTGTATATCACGAAAATAAACACGTGATTAAGAATGTGACAATGTCAGACCACGGTATTTAAGATGTATTTAATATACGAAAGTACTTAAGGAAATTCCTGTTTCATTTTCCACCGTGGTCTGACATTGTCATTATATATATATATATATATATATATATATATATATATATATATATATATATATATATATATATATATATATATATATATATATATACTTTCATGATATAGCATGATCTATGCATTTACTAGAGGTGGAGACATACCATGGATACGAGGGTAAATATTGTAAATGTTGGGGTCGAGTGGGGTGGTGGTGATGTGTTCAGCTTCATCAATGAGGGAGTCCGTAGATCCACCACTATCACTCTCATCCCAGTACAGCCCCTTCAGCCCAACACTGCTGCCACTGAAGCAACAATGACACAATATTAGTATGCACTTGCAAACACAGCAATATGATAGAATGGCAAAGCTGGAATGTTAACTTGTTAGATAAGATCATTATCAGAAGAAAGTGCTAAGCCAAAATTACTGTACTGTACTCACCTAGTTGTGCTTCCAGGGGTTGAGCTTTGTCTCTTTGGTCCCGTCTCTCAACCGTCAATCAACTGGTGTATGGATAGAGCCCTTGTGGGCTCTATCATATCTACATTTGAAACTGTGTGGAGTTTGCCCCTACCACATCACATCTTAGTGCATTCCATTTGTTAACTACTGACTGAACAAATTCTTTCTATTGGCTCTGTGGCTCATCTGGGTACTGTACAGTACTAAGTTTCCACCTGTGTCCCCTTGTTCGTGTTCCACCCATGCTAAAGGTTTGTCTTTGTCCACCCTGTCAATTCCCCTGAGAATTTTGTAGGTGGTTATCATGTCTTTCCTCACTCTTCTGTTTTCCAGGGACATGAGGTTCAGCTCCTTTAGCCTTTCCTCGTAGCTCATACCTCGCAGTTCCAGGACGAGTCCAGTGGCATACCGTTGAATCTTCTCTAACTTTGTCTTGTGTTTAACTAGGTATGGACTCCAAGCTGGAGCTGAATATTTCAGGATTGGTCTGACATGGTGGTATACAGGGTCCTGAACGATTCCTTACACAAGTTTCTAAAGGCAGTTCTTATGTTGGCCAGTCTAGCATATGCCGCTGATGATATCCTTTTGATGTGGGCCTCTGGGGACAGGTTCGGTGTGATATCAACCCCCCAGATTTCTCTCTCTATTTGACTCTTGCAGGATTTCACCTCCCAGATGGTACCTTGTGTTCAGCCTTCTGCTCCCTTTGCCTAATTTCATTACTTTACACTTTCCTGAGTTGAACTTTAGTAGCCATTTTCTAGTACATATGGAAGGGATATGAGGACAGGACAGGAGGAATCCATATGGAAAGGATATGAGGACAAGACAGGAGCTAAGATATGAGGATGGGATGTGAGAACAGGGTATGTGGGAGGAAAATATAATTTGTTTTGTCAGACAGGCTGCCTGCGTGTGTATATACTGTATTTGTTAGGCATATATCGAGGCCCCTTCCCCCCAAAAACCGACCTTTCCCAGAATGTAATCCCACAACAGTTGACCAGCTCCTGGGTATCTCTTACCACTAGGTGAACAAAGGCATTATGTGAAATGAAATGTGCCCAACCAATTGTCCCACCCGGGATTCAAGCCCTGGATCTACAATTGTGTCTAGAACGAACCCAACTATACTACCAAGGCCCTGTCACTGCCACTGAACTGTCAGCATGTGAAAGTGATTCATAAGGACTGTCCGTATATGTAAACTTTATAATAACAATTAATTTTGTTCGGGGACAAGTAGCCAATGTATATAAACATGTTAGGCATATATCCAGGTCCTCATCCCCCTCAAGATCAAACTACTGACCTCCTGGATGCAACCCCACAAGCTAACTCTTGCATTGGAGTTGCTTAGGGGGGTAGAAATAGCCTAAGCTACTCTATCCCTTTGAGATGTAGTTCTTTTTTGTCTCAATAAACATACTTGAACCTGCATTGGTACCTACTTATTGCTAAGTGAATGGGGGCATTAGGGATAGGAAATGGGCCCAACCATTTTTATCCCGCCTGGGATTCCAACCCTGAATTCTCGATTGCGAGTTGAGAACAAAATCTGTACTGCTAAGATCTTTTTAGCGCTCTGTACTCCTTTTGCGATACAGCTCAGGATGAGTATAGGGTGCACAACAAACTAGGTGCTGCACTAGCAGCAGCAGTCAAAACATACTCAATATGCGAAACGAGTGTGCTGTTTTCTCTGCATCCTAATTTTGTGATATATTTTGTCCATGTGTCTCGCCGCTCTAATGGTAAACTCAACATTGTTTTACCAATATATACTAACATTCAAACTGTAAGCTACATGTTCAATTTATGCCAAATGTGTTTTATTTAAACTGCTATTCACCATACTTGTTTAGTACAGCCATTATTGTAAAGTGATGCATAAGTTGTGGCGAGTGAAGTCTATATAATTCTAAGTCCATGCCCGAAACGCTATGCATATGCCATGCTATGCATAGCGCGAATAGCCCGCGCTATTCGCGAATAATAGCTATGCATAGCCCGAAACGCTATGTATATTAGTGGCTTTGCCTGAAACGCTATGTATATTAGTGGCTTTGCCCGAAACGCTATGTATATTAGTGGCTTTGCCCAAAACGCTATGCATATTAGTGGCTTTAGGTATTGCATTTACTAGCTCTATAAATCCAACAATATGTTTGTAACTGCATCTATGTATGTACTTTTCCCAAATGAAATATTATTACTGTATTATTATTATTATTATTATTATTATTCTAAGTAGAGTTGACACACGAGTGTGTGGACTGGAAAGTGTGTGTGTGTGTGTGTGGGGGGGGGGGGGATGGCACTCACCTACCAACCATCACGTCAAAGGCAGAGTGGGCGTGTGTTGGGCCTGGGTTAGTGTGAGAGAATGATGAGGATTGACTAGGCACTCTTAGGTGGCTGGAGACTGGATGTTGCAGGTCTGGAAGGCTGGCGGCACTGCGGATACTTGACCCACCTGCACCTGCCGACCAAAACAAGTAATTACATACACTTTATTATTTTAGGATGCACAAGACAGTAGCAGTTACTCTGGAAATAAAGATGCATTTAAATATATTTAAATCAAATTAAATGTTATAACTGACAAATTATAATGTTCAGGAACATTTAAAAATGGATTTGGTAGTTCTGAAGTCACCTAACAATGACTTTAGTTGAGGCTACTCCACGTCCCTCACCACCCAAGGATCACTGGGTGGTCCTGTGGTCCCGGGTTCGATCCCGGGCGCCGGTGAGAAACAATGGGCAGAGTTTCTTTCACCCTATGCCCCTGTTACCTAGCAGTAAAATAGGTACCTGGGTGTTAGTCAGCTGTCACGGGCTGCTTCCTGGGGGTGGAGGTCTGGTCGAGGACCGGGCCGCGGGGGACATTAAAGCCCCGAAATCATCTCAAGATAACCATTGTACATAACCTCACAATAACCTACTACCCAACATGTATAGGCGTAGAAAATTTAAAAAATTATGGACAAGCCAGAATTCTGAGGAAAGGCATAGGGTTTGTGGATAAGTTAACACTGGCTGAGGGTAGTTTTTGTTGGGCGTGATGGAGCTAACAAGAGAACTCAGGAACAAGGAGAGTTTTGTTTAGTGTGAAAACGAGGTCTGTATGCGTCCCCAGATCTAAGACATCTTAATAATACATTAAACAATAAAGAAATGAACATTATAGAAACATGGAAATGTATGGAGCTACATATAACTATGGAAGACATACTTTAAGAATCACAATTATGAATTGGACAATTACAAGTCGCAGATAATTACGAAACCTCAAGTTCATGTATGTTTATTGCGACAAGGAAAAAAGTACATCTCAAAGGGATAGAGTAGCTTAGGCTATTTCAACCCCCCCCCCCAAAGAAGCCTCAAGTACTTACATAGGTGACAGGTAATTATGACAAGTTTAGTAATTATTAAGGGAGATAATTAAGATAAGTGATTATTAAGTGAGATAAGAGAAGTTAAGCGATTATTAAGTGAGATAAGAGAAGTAACAGGTCAGTGATAATAGATCATAACAGGTATGTATGGCATCAGAATATAGCATACATGTTAGTATAACAAGCACATATATGCCACTCATAACAACGACACAGTTATGCGTATATCAGTTATCAGTATAACTCGAGTTTAATAATAAGTATAACTTGTGAGCATGACTCACGTAAGTATACGTAAAGGTAACATTCCACATAACTATATAGTCGTGTCCACTAACAACACATGACAACAGTTGTGCTGACTCCATGATGCTGCTAAATAAACTATCCCTCTGAAGCAAAATTAAATTAAATTAGTAGTAGTAGTGTACACTCATGACACATGACAGTCTAGACAATCTTGCCTTTAACAAATATGCCTTTAACCTGGGCAAAATAACTTCCAAAGGTTTGTAAATGATTTCCAGCTCAGGGACCATTGCCATATTACATATCCGAAATCCGACAAAATCGCATTCGGACAACCCCAAAATTGATTTAAAAATGTATCCGACTGGAAGGTGAAACTGGACAGCGGACAGGCGAGGGTAAACATTTCACACAAAGAAGCAGACGGTATAAATGAATCCAGTCGCAGTTGTCTGAGCGATGTTGATGCAGCAGCTGGAAAAGGTTTCAAAAGCATCGCCAGAAAAGGTTTACGGACAACTAGACCATTGGAATAAAGAAACGACAGAATGCAGCCGATGCAATGCCAAGGTATAAAGTGCTCGTTTAAATGAAGAATCTGTCGGGGAATCCATCACCAAGTTACATCACTGCAGAAAGTACTCTGGATTACATTAACAAGTCTTAATTGGCTATTATCAAGAGCATTTGGGGGAGAGGATCCTTTCATAAAAATAGGTGCAATTTGGCAGAGCGTTATGCAAGGTATTTGCCCAAGAGGATTACTATGTCCATTACAGATAGAGTTGTCTATTTAGCTACACCACAACTTTAGATCAAGAAACCTCACTGACGTTCTCCGCCATCTTGGTTTACTGTTCGTCGTTTGCAGAGGTAACACGCTTCGAAATAAACATGGCGCTAGCAAATGGCTTTGGTTCTTTGACTGTTGATAAAAACACTGCAGTACTTCTAACAGAAGATAACATGGATCATGAAGTCTTCACTTTGGATGGTAAGAATATATTTAACGGAATGAGTAAGATTGCGGCAGTGACCCCCGAAGATCAAGATCCAGTTTTCTATTCGTAGGCGTAATGTTAGTGGCAGCGAAATTAAGAAGGCTGCAACAAGATAATATAGAAACGCACAAGGCATGTCAAGGGGCATCTTATTTTGCGAGCTTCCAGTACCCATAATCACCATAAATAAACTTAGTCTTCTCTGATAGATCTTTTCACCAGAAGAATCAGGTCCAAATTGGTCAGGGACAATGCAAGCAATTCACTGTAGATCAAGTATCTCTGTTCAGTTACAAATACATCATGTTCTGATTGTTACCAACACTCGGTTATTGAAGCCGCTGGAAGAGCGGCAATAATGCTGTTGTCTGACTGCCAAACTGGAATCTGTTAACGCATTACGTCATCGAATGTTCATTGAAAAGGCGGCTGCAGCTACGTGGGTGTCTTGCTTCCCAACCGTCCCACGCGGTCACGTGTCCCTCCATAGAATTCTTGGTGAATCCGATACTTTGGTATCGCTCACCTTATGCGCTTTTGCTCTCGTATTGGCATCCTTGGTGATATTTAGTGCCTTTTTGAATATCCTGCAACTTTGATGGTGCTATATTGTCTCCCCGGCTTGGCCTTTTGATAGTTACGTGTTACATCCGAGTCTTTGTCACCTACAGATTCGTTCACAAGTACCACATTTCGCACATATTTTCAAGAAACAATAGCTGGAAGTCCACAGAAGAGAGAATCAATGTAGAATAGAGGATCAATGTAGAACCACACCAGACATAAATATGTCTTTGATATCCCCAGAGTCAAACTTAATCTGTGTAAACACTCTATGCAAATAAAGGGACCTAGTCTATGAACTCACTCCCTAATGAATTGAAAAGCTGTCCAACTTTTGCCATATTCAAAAATAAAACCAAAAAGTACCAAATTTCATCTTCATAGTTTTCTACCTAGTGCTTTATCTTCGCACTGTATCTAGTGCTACCCAATCCCCCAATATTTGCACAAAGCCATATTACTTTACCATTGTAATCTTAGATATCATCTGATATCATGGTTGTTGTATTGAGTACATATTCTACTGCATTATTCCTTGAAATGATCCTCATATTGTGCTTCAGTGAACCAATGTATAACCCTGAAATGTTATCCTAATGTACCTTGCCTTACCTTGCAAGGTACCTAGTAATCCTTGTTCATTATTGTGTATTAAAATTAAGTTTAAGGATTAAGGACTTGCCTGAAACGCTGCGCATGTTAGTGGTTTTACAAGAATGTAAAGTCAACTTAATTTCTATGTTCTCTGTTAACCCCCAATGTACCTTCTTGTATAAAAATAAATAAATAATAAATCAATAAATAAACAGTGGGGTTGGTATGTAAACAATAGTTCCTACTATCCTGAAGTTTGCGGCATGCCAGCAGCACCAGGGATTATCTGCTCCACATTATCACTCTTCATGCAAGATGAAATGTGCCACTTCACGATGTAAATGCAAGCACAATGGATCGCCCTGTTCAGCTGCAAATTGTTGCGAGTGCCAAATGAGTGGATGGAGTAGTTCAAATACCGGTAATGAATGTGATGACAGTGACGAAGAGGATTAATTTACGTATATTTATTTATTTATGCATATACAAGAAGGTACATTGGGAATGTGAGGATACATAATATGGTAATTACAGTCTTGTAAAGCCACTAGTACGCGCAGCGTTTCGGGCAGAAACCTGCGGGTGTGATTAGGTGTGTGATCAGGTGTCACTTCTGTAATGAACAAAACTTGAAACAGGAATTGAAATAATTGTTCTTGTCTATATTTTAAAATTCTGTAAAACATTATATGACATCATAATTACGTAATAAATGGTCGTATTGTATCACAACAAAAACCTAAAGATATGGAGAAGAAGGGATATGATCTCTGTATACAAAATACTCAGGGAAATATAGAAACTGGACAAGGACGGCCTCTAAAATGAGAAAACATGACAATAGGACCACAATGGAAACTTAACACGCAATTAATTCATGGCAAAGTGCTCATATCCTGTAAGAGCTGTCAACAAGAGAATACAATGAAAGAACAAGTCGAGGAAGCCTCCTCAGTCTAATATTGTTTGACTTCAAGGTCAAACATGTTACAGAACTTAAACGTTCAGAGCTGGACTTCACTCGCCCGTAGTTCATTAATAAGCAAACACAATTATGCATGAAATATAGAAGCCTAGTGAAGGTCAGTATGGCACACTTAAGCATGACGGGACTCTGGAAAACATGGCACAGTAAGCATGATGCATGTAAGCATGAGAGGCGTGCCTGACTAGTATGCATGACACAAATAGTCATCGCAGAAACAAGCATAATAAATGATTCATGATATCATCAAGCATAGCACAAGCATGCCAGAAATAAACATAACACAGGTAAGTATGACAGATAAGCATGCCCCCAGGCAAGGATGATACTGAAGAGGTAAGCATAAAACAGATAAGAATAACACAGATAAGCATGAGACAGGTAAGCATAACACAGGTAATCCTGAAAAAGGTAAACATAACACAGATAAGCATGAGACAAATAAGCATATTAGAAGCAAGCATGTCAGAAGCAAGCATGACTCTAGTATTAGCATCATTATCGTCGAGTAAGGACGACAAAGCATGATACCTCAAAATAATAGGCGAGACTGGCAAGCTATAGTTAGATGGACAAATGCCATAAGGCTCTCAGGATATAGCATGACCTGTTAGCCTACAGCACGGCAAGGTCGAGGAACAGTCACCTGACCTTCACCAAATCGTCAATACGCAGATGTAATTAA